GAAGAATCTATATAATAGTAATAATAATATATATACGTTCTCTATCCTGGATTCCCTAAAATACTTCTTGAATGTGAAGCTTGTGTTATAGCAACAAAGATCTTAATATTTTCCCTCTAATAAATGATTGTATAATATATAATTTGATATAACCATACGATAATAACTTTAACATCTTTAAATTAATCCTTACTGTAATAAGATACAATGATACCTGAGTCGCAATGCGGTATTAACAAGACACAAAATGTCCATTGACATAATAAACGAGCGAGTCGCGTATAAATCCTTTAAAAATACTCAGTATCGGATATACTTCATAGTTATAGATATGCTATGGTGAGCAGCTGAAGATCACATGTATAAAAGCGTGGGCATTTACTGCGCTCCTCACTTTAGGAAGCGCTGGGCTAAGAGAACCGTGCATTGCTGCACCGCTCGCCCCTGAGTGTTCAGGTGGAGTGACCCGCAGGGAAGAAGATTGCGTGGGATGCTCGGAGGACCCTTCCTCGCACGCGGGTACTGCACTTAAAGCGTTACAGTTTGACATTTTAATACAGTTTAAGCGTTACAGTTTGAAAACATTTTAAAACATTTTAAGCGTTGCAGTTTGACAACATTTTAATACAGTTTAAGCGTAGCTGTTTGACAACAGCCGGGGAATCATGCTTGAGTTAAGACAATACCGCCAAAGGGCTCGGAGGTTTTTCTCTAATTTTCATCACCAACATATTGACACACAATATCGCTGCCAAATTTATTTTCAGCTTATGATAGTAAAGAGTTTTGTAACTTGTCGTATGAGAGATCGTCTTTGTTACCACGCCTAACATTTCGTTTAGATTACGCCCTGTCAACTTCCAATCGCTTGCTTTGTCAGTTTATGGTTTAATCGGGATAGGCATACGCGTTATGGATTCATTTATTCAATTTTATGGGTCGTTGGTTTTATTCATCAAAGTTAGTCAAATATCTTGATTTGGAGAAGCTCACTGCCCAAAATATTGAGATCTCTACAGTAAAATTCAAATTCATTATCGCAATACTAATGCTTTAAAGGTGATGCATTGTATTGCTGCTTGCTTGCTCCAATGCTGGGAGCTTAAGAAGTTCTATGGACGAGAGCTGGCATCACATTATGCGGTGTTTCATGTCATCGTTGCATCATAAGTTTCCATAGCCTCGTTGGGATGCTTCCTGTTTGCCGGTTTTAAGCTGTGCATTTCTTCGGTATATGACTCGATGTAACAAGTAATGCTTGCGCAAATAATTGGAAAGTGCAAATCTTCTAATTTTAATTTTATGGAGGAGTAATCGGCAACATTTCACTGATAATGAGTTCGTTTCGCTAACATTTGCGATTGCGCTAACTAGCCATATAGCATTTTTTCCGAAAAAAATTTTCAGCGAAATTGGAGGTAAACCAAATACCATGTATTTTGATAACATAATTTTCACATATCACGAGTAGGCTGTCACATGGATGGCGTGTCTATATACATGCGTGTACCTAAGGGAAATTTCTGATTTTCTTAAAATTTAAGTACACCCGTAAAAATAACGGATGTGATACAGAAAAGCAAAAACCATTTCAATTTTTTCAACACTCAAAAACCAATCAGGAGTTTTAAGAGCTTGAACGCACCCATAGAATATAGTGCTTCCAGTTCAATTCAAGTGCACCTAATGTCAGTTCGTTCTTCTTCTTGTATCAATGTATCGTCGAGCATTGTCAGGAATCCATTTGTTCCTTCAAATCATAAATTGAAACTTCTAGAACACTCTTCGGCTTTTTAAATTGCTGGCCTGGCTAATTATTTGCATGTTGCTGTGATTTCAAAGAAGCTTTAATCCCTGCATTTCCTTTCGACCCTTAATCTCTACTTCGAACCAAGCTTTATTGCTATGCATTTCCCTCAGGAGGACACGATTTCATCAATTTTGGACATCATTTTAACTCTCTTTCGAAAAGTGTGAGTTTTGTTTGCGCGAGAGGCAAGACTATTTTCACAGCATGTGTTCGAGGAAGCTGTTTTAAAGCTTCATTGATTATAATGCTGGAGAATGGATTGCCATCCGTTTGGGTAAACGTACAATATTATGAATCATTTAAATTCTCTAAAATAAATCATTCTTAAATTGAAATACTTGTTTTCATCGTGCGGGCAGTTTTTAAACAACAAACAGTAACCGAGGCTCTGAACGAGTCTGGTGCGACCGGATCGAATGGCCAATCCCGAACCTAAATTCAACTGTTTACTTACACTCGACTGTTTTTTTTACACTCAACTGGCTATTTACACTCAACGGGTTATTTACACTCAACTGGTAATATGTACCACAAGTTTAAAAAAATGAGAATCCAGTTTCGCCAATTTACCGTCCGCTCATAGCATATAATGACTGATAATGACCAGTTGTCTTATTCTCTGCACAATTGCAATTTTTTGGGTTAATTTCAAGAATTCAACGAAATTTTAATTTATTTCTTGCAAGTATTTTATAAAAACTCTCCACAGTCCATAGTTGCCCATCAGTACGTTTTTAAACTTCTTGTTTTACTAATTTATGATTTTGTAGATTTTTAAAGAATTTTACTGTGAAAATATGGTTCTGCATTTTCAATTGTGAATTCATTATACGTTATATTTCGGCCAGAAGATTTATTTTCTGGCAGAAAGTTCATTCTAAAATGTTTCGTTTGTCGATAGCAGGACTTCTTCTCTTGCATTTAAAGAAGCTCACCGTGTATCTCCTTTATATGAACCTTGTAAGTAAATGCCTCTGTTCATTACAACTCTATTATCGGTTTGGACTTTAACAATGCTTTCATACTCTTCAGTGTAAAATTGTTACGATGTGTTATATTTAATTCTACTGAAGTTTTTGTTGTTTTTTATATTGTTTACTGTCTAATGGCTTCATATTTTTTGTTGTGTGCTTGACATATTAGTCAAAAATTAATGTGATGAAGTGATGTTTTGTCTTTAGTTTATCTTATCTTATGGAAGTTATCGCTGAATTATTATGTTATTGTGTGACTGTATATCGTCTGTCTACGAAATACATTAGCAGGTTTTTTGAAGAACAACAACAACATTATAATAATAATATATCATATACCTGAATGAATTTTTCTAATTAAATTTTTTATTTTTCAGGTACAATGCTTCCTCAATGATGACGCAAAACCATCAAATTCTTCTGTTGTTTGGCTGTTTTTTCTTTTCTAATCTTCAACTGATTTTCGGTCTCTGTGTAGTTCATCCATTAGAAGCTTTGCTTAATTTACTGTTTCAATGTTTCAAAATTCTTCGCTTTCGATATTTTTACGGGTTCAAAGTAGCACTAAAACGATTTATCACATGAAATTAGTCATGAAACTTTCCGATCCCTCCTTATTTTTCGTGATTTTACTATGAACCATTTTTTCAATTTCACAGTCAATCATAATTTCGCTCTTTCAGATTACAAATTATAACAATCCTTGAGGATATTTCATAAACTTTTAATGCTTGGATTCATAAGGAAACCATTGCGTCCCATAATTTCTTGTAATCAATCACTCAGGTTCTCATAGATGATTTCGCTAATAATCAGCGAAACATGTATTTCCATGAATACAGTGTCAACACAAATAATAAAACAATCCGAATCCTATGTTTTTAGCCGCCCCGTACTAATTCGAAATCAGGTCCAAAATATCTGCATTTAAAAACTAAAGAAAATATTTGACGGACCGAGCCTTATTTCTCGTGCAGAGTTCCCACAAATACTCATTACCATAAAGTCTGCTCACTGCGCCGCGAAAATCGTTTCTTAACACATGATCCCATTCATAATATATAGACAATCTGTCAATTTACATCCCATTTATCCTAATTATAAATTCACATATTGGACCAAACTTCGTTTTAGTGCCTACTAAATGCATGGTAATGTCTCGCTCTCACTTATGCACGTGCCTTAACAAATTTTTACGTCTTGAATCATCCGCTGATAAGCTTTTGTAATTTTTTGCTGTCGCCGCCATTCATTTGTTTGGTTTGAGTTATTGTTTTACTGGTATTGTGCCTTGACGTGATGTTAACTATTAAGGATTAAGGGTTTTGATGTTATGAAACTTGTTATTAAAAAAATTTATTTTATAGGTATGAGTATTTTACAAATTTTGTTTTCTAAATGCAAAATCAATCAGAATAGGAGAACTTAATTATTTTCAAGGACTTTTTTACTAATGTTAGTTTCATTGATTTTTCCACAACTGCTCGGCAAAGGCACTTGTACTTCTTTCAACGTCTAAAACTCTGCACATTATTGTTGACTCTGGCACTCTGGCCTTTTATATAACGGTGTGATTTTAATCTATTCTCTACATTCATGTTGACATCAATATTAGATTTCTATTTTAGAGAAATGGAATTAATTTTAAAAAGAGTATCATTGTTCGATTCAAACAGCCCTACATTTTAAGGACTCTACAGCTTTGAAAAAGTTCCTTCAAAAGTGAATGATCGTAGATTAATTTATATCTGTTAACAGTACGATAGCATCTCATTCAAAAACGGTACTATGTTCCTAAATGAATTATAAATTATTCCTAATAACTAGTGTAAATACAGAGATGTTCGTTGAAGGTTCAAACAAAGAGCGATTCTTTTAAACATTTAATTTTACATTCACATTCCTGCTATGCGATGTATACAATTGAAGTGTATGATTTTTGCTCTCATGAGTTATATGCACATTTTTTAGTTCTGCATTGTCACTGCTGCAGAGATTGTCACACCTTTTCACTGATAATTTTTTACTACAAATTATTGTTCAGTTTTACACTGGAACACTTTTTTTCTTGAACGCAAGTACAATTTCTTTAGAATTTTATTTTTTTTGCTCAAAAATCGCTTCGATCACTCTCATGCACAATACTCACATATCGTCCATATCAACAGCTGGATTAATCTTATTATTAAAATCCTGTTCATTAATTGTGTTTTCAGGCACCCGCGAGACGGATGTTTCAACTCCATCAACTGAGCCAAGCGTGGCGACCCAGACGAGGGTGACGACCCAGCCAAGCCTGACGACGATGTCCTTGTCGTGTTCCCCCGAGGGCTCGTACCAGCACGACCCCTCAGACTGCAGCTCCTACTACCTCTGTGTGCACGGCAGCCTCAACCGCTTCACCTGCCAGTCGCCGCTCCTCTGGAATAAGGTACAATCACTTGACATTTTTATTACTTAATTAGCTATCTACTTTACTTTTAATCATTTTTCCAATTTTACAACCAATCGTAATTTAGTTGTTTCAGATTGTAAATTATTATTGTAAAAGTGAAAATCCTTTGAATCTAAGATTTCACGTGAAGTTAGATCGTACTCAATGAAGATCTTACGCTCGAGAAGTTTATTATAAAACCTAAACACGGTTCAGTTATTAATGCAGGTACGAAATTATGCAAATAAAAGTAATGTATACGAAGAGATCGTTACTTGTCACGCTACATCTGTGAACAATCGGAAAGATAATACTTTGATATCGCTTTTTTCATATATTCATGTATTACACATAGTCCTATTTACTATTGATTTTGAAGTAAGCAAGTAAGCGTTTTTCAACATAAATTTAAGTGTTGAGAAAACATGAATATGCGTTTTGCTGTAGTTATGTGTTTCAATACTTAATGATATTGTTTATCTTTTATTTAGATTAAGAACATTTGCGACTGGCCCAAGAGTGTTAACTGCCAAATAACCGATGGTGGTGGTGGAGGCGCTTCGGCTCCCTCGTCAGGAGTTACCTCGAGTGACGTCCCTCAAGTGACCACCCCGCCTCCCGCACCCGTCGAGCTGGAACCCGTGCAGGGTGAAGGCTCGTTATCAAGTGGGTCGTAGTGACCTGCACATAAACGCCAGTCCTAAATAGAATTAATATAAGGACTGGTGTTTGTAAGATTGTCAATATGAACGTGAGAAAAAGTGCTCTAATTAAGGAAAGAGTTGTGGTTTGACCGAAATGATTGCCAGAATTAGAATAATGTTCTGTGAGGAAATGTTAACGCCATACAGAACTGCTAAGCGTATAATTTCTTTAAAAGCGGTCATAATTTTCCAAATTTTATTTTGCTATACCAGAGGACTACATGGTGGTGTGCTACTTCACAAACTGGGCCTGGTACCGGCCTGGTATTGGCAAGTACACACCAGACGACATCGACCCGACAATCTGTACTCACATCGTGTACGGCTTCGCGGTGCTGGACTACAGCAACCTCATCATCAAGCCTCACGACTCGTGGGCTGACCTCGATAACAGTCAGTACTAAAATTATGCCTACGAATCATTCTTCACAAATTCAAATATGAGTCGTTCATGAATGGTTAGTCAGGAGGTACGCTTAAAATATCGTGTAGGTTGTAGAATACCTTATGCGTTATTCTTCATTAACATGCGATATCTCATGAGAGCATTTTTGACCGAGTATTGTTTTACAGATTTCTATGGGAAGGTTACGGCCCTAAAGAAACGAGGCATTAAAGTGACAGTCGCTATCGGAGGTTGGAATGACTCAGCAGGCGACAAGTACAGTCGCTTGGTGAACAACCCAACGGCCAGGCGGAAGTTCATCGAACACGTCATCGAGTTCATCACGAAGCACGACTTTGACGGCCTCGACTTGGACTGGGAGTATCCCAAGTGCTGGCAGGTGAGAAAAATAAATTTTCTATCGTCACATGTGGGCCGTGATGAATTACGTAGATTGATACTTTTTTCTCGTGCTTGATCGATAGGTACAAAAATTCTTAATTACTCTTTTTAAATTTCGGTAATGTTATTTCGTGAATTTCGAACTGCTTTACTTTATCTTAATTTCAGGCAATATATTATTTTTTGAAGGTAAATAAAAAATGTCAATCAGCAAAAGAAAGTAATGAAAATAAAATAACCTTCTATTTCTTGTGTCAGGTGGACTGCAACAAAGGCCCAGCTACAGACAAGCAGGCGTTCGCTGACTGGGTGAGGGAGCTGAGCGAAGCCTTCAAGCCCAGAGGCCTGCTGCTCTCGGCCGCCGTCTCGCCCAGCAAGAAAGTCATTGACGAAGGTGTGTTTCTAAATACCATTGAAAAAATAAGTTCTCATTCGCTAACAATAAAGGAAAAATTACATTGTAATTTTCGTTCTGTGAAGAGATTGTAAATTTTGCATCTTCTACAATTTAAGTTTTTTAATATGTTCGATCTCATTGTTTGTGGTAAAGGCTACGACGTACCTGCACTGAACCGCTACCTGGACTGGATCGCTGTGATGACTTACGACTACCACGGCCAGTGGGACAAGAAGACTGGCCACGTGGCGCCCATGTACTACCACCCTGAAGACGACATCGATTACTTCAACATGGTACAATATTCATAGATTATTTCATGTTCAATATCCAACCTTGTGAATTATAATAAAAAATACTACGATGGCAACCATGAGGTCTCATCGAAACTATTAGTTAAATCTGTTCATTACTATTTACTCTCTTATTTTTTTAATGTATAATTTTCTTACATTTAAGCAACGACGTTGTCTATTTGTTCAATTTAACAAATATCTTACGTCTCCTCAGGACTTCACAATCCGCTATTGGCTGGAGCAAGGAGCGACCCTGGACAAGCTGGTGCTGGGCATGCCGATGTATGGGCAGTCGTTCACCCTCAACAACCCCTCAGTGAACGGCCTCAACGCCCCCGCCCGCTCGGGGGGCACCGCTGGCGAGTTCACGCGCGCCAAGGGCTTCCTCGCCTACTACGAGGTACTATGCTTGAAAATAGTTGAAATATATTACTCTCGCAATTGATACTGCAGTATGTCTAAAAATTTAATTTTTATTCATGACGTTATTTGCCTCAATTTTTTAAAGGATTTTTCCCACTAATTTCTCATTATAATCATTCATTTTCTTCGGTATAATGAAAAAGGTCATGCATCTTTCCCAACGTATCAGAGTACAAAAAAAATCAGCCTATGTCATAAAAAAATATTCAGCCCAGTTCGAAATTCTCAGAATTAAATTTTCATTTTCGCTCCTCAATAATAAATCACACAAACTTTTAAATGAATTATCCTACATATTCTTGGAACATTAGGCATTTGATATCTTTATGACATTATTATGAGTGTCCCGACCCAGATCTGCGACCGCGTGCGCAACGGAGGCTGGACGGTCGTCAAGGACCCGGAGGGCAGGATGGGCCCGTATGCCTACTCAGGAGACCAGTGGGTCTCCTACGATGATGTCGAAACTATCAGGAAAAAGGTATAAACTTACACCATATGAGCTCTCTAAAAATTTAAATTATTTCTAACAATTTAGAAAAGTTCAATAAGAGTTGTGGATTGCATCAAGAACCGCCATCGCGAAGAAAAGATTTTTAGTGTTACACATACGTATATGATTGTGAGAATATTTTTCGAGGTTGTATTCTTTAATAAATAGCATCAAAATTGAGTCATAACTTGCCTGAACTCACCTATAATTAAAGGCGTAACTAAATTAAAGTATAATTAAACCCTGCCATCTCAGGCGCAGTACATCCGCGACAAGGGGCTGGCAGGAGGCATGGTCTGGGCTCTCGACCTCGACGACTTCAGGAACCGGTGTGGCCAGGGGGCGCACCCACTAATGAACACCATCAAGAGTGTGCTGGGTGAGTGATGGGCCATCAAGAGTGTGCTGGGTGAGTGATGGGCCATCAAGAGTGTGCTGGGTGAGTGATGGGCCATCTGTGAGTGATGGGTCATCAAGAGTGTGCTGGGTAAGTGATGGGCCATCAAGAGTGTGCTGGGTGAGTGATGGGCCATCAAGAGTGTGCTGGGTGAGCGATGGGTCATCAAGAGTGTGCTGGGTGAGTGATGGGTCATCAAGAGTGTGCTGGGGAGTAAAAAAAAAGGTCATCAAAAGTGGGCTGGGGAGTAAATAGATAAAATGTAATAAAAAATATCAAAAATATCATATCATCAAAAATAGGCTAGGGGAGTGCTGGGTCATCAAGGCTTGCTGGGTGAGTAGTGGGTCATCAAAAGTGTGCTAGCTGAGTGATGGGTGATGAAGAATTTGCTGGGTGAGTGATGTGTCATCAAGAGTGTATTGGGTGAGGGATGGGTAGTGTTTGGTAGTGCAGCTCGCCTTAAGGAATGTCTGAGATTTCGTAACCGGCCACTATTCTACTATCCCTCACATTCTAAGTAAGTTGCAACGAGAATTTCATTTCCATTTATTTCGGGTATCTTTTTCTGGCAGGCCCCCCACGAGGAGCCGCGGTAACACTCCCAGGTTCCGTTCAACCCACACGGCGGCCGCCACCACCCCCCACACCCCAGCCGTCTTCCACGACCCCCAGACTCAGTGACTCCACGGCCGTTACTTCCTCACCCACCGTCCCACGACCTGCGGGTGCGTTCCTTCGATGAGGGTTTTTGCTAAGCATAGCCAAGGAACTTTATTGGAAATAGTTCAGGCTGCAATCAAGCTAAACGCTTTAATTTTGCTTTATTTAAACGCCAACTATTTCTTTAGCTGGAATTTATAGCTTAGTTTGCTCTGATTTTGCGCCAGGAATAACAGTCATTAGGGAAATGTAATTTCAAGTGTCATAGGAAGAATTTGAATTAGTCTCTTAAAATAATATTACTATTATGTGCAGACGACGGCGAGTTCAAAGTCGTGTGCTACTTCACGAACTGGGCTTGGTACCGCCAAGGCGAAGGCAAGTACAAGCCCGAGGACATCGACTCGTCTCTGTGCACGCACATCGTCTATGGCTTCGCTGTGCTCGACAGCAGCAGGCTTCTCATCAAGCCCCATGACACCTGGGCGGACTTCGACAATAGTGAGCAGACCACAGCATAATTTTATTTATGTTGAATTATTTACTAATCTATGTAATATTATTTATTGATATTTGAAATAAAGAAGAAATGTTAATCTGTATATCTTGGGGCTTAAAATTTATTTAGCTGTGTTTGGTTCAGCATCGCATTCAAAACGGAAGTGAAAACATAATTTCAACGTGCAGAATATGGCTAATCTGTAGCCAATAAATTGCACCAAATTCCTTGAGATTTCACGCCTAAATAAATCCGTTTATTACGCCTCTTACTCCTTAGAAGGGGTAAGAATAAATTACAACCCGTAAGAAATTACGTCTCGTGATTCTCTAAATTCATGCATCATAGAACTCCTTATTTGGACTGTGAATTGAATCTACCGTCATTAGCTTCCCAGGATGTTCTGAAATATTTAATATAAAAATTTCGCACTGCTTTCAATGCAATAATTCATGACTAGTACTTCCCACCGCCAGAGTTCTACGAGAAGGTCACAAGTCATCGCTCTAAAGGAACTAAGGTTCTCATCGCCATCGGCGGCTGGAACGACTCGCTGGGCAGCAAGTACAGCAAACTAGTCAACAACCCAAGCGCAAGACAAAAGTTCACTGAACATGTTCTCAAGTTTATCCTCGAGCACAACTTTGATGGACTTGATCTGGACTGGGAGTACCCGGTTTGCTGGCAGGTACTGTGCATTAAGTTTTTGTTTTCTTCTGTTTCTTGCTTTGTTTTCAAGTCAAGTTTATTCTATTTAGGCAATCTCCTTTTTTTTTTGATGTGCTTATTTTTTTCATACCGCTTATTGTTTATCTAAGATATTTCTGTTGTTAAATTTCTTAGCAATGATTAATTCTGTCTTTCGTACATCGAATCAGGCTTTTGATTTTATTTTTCAAGGATAAACGATGCTAGGCTCTTTATGGGCTGTAATCGTTGAGTTAGAAAAAGATAACACTTCAAGTTAATGGCCTTTCTGTTTGTGGTATCAATGTCACAAAAAGTTTGATATGCGTAACTTAGGAAAATTTTGTATTTTTATTTTGTACCTGTACACTAGAGCAGTCTTATACCCACCAAGTGCTCATATAACTTACAAGAATAATTTGTTTTTCTTCTACCAGTGACGTTCAATGATCTTGCCAAATAGCTCAATCACGAGCGCATAGCCAGCAACTTATAAAAATATTATTTGCTAATATTTAACTAAATAACTACTGTATGGTATAAATTTTACTATGTGTTTCGTTGCATGGCAGGTTGACTGCAAGAAAGGCCCGGCCTCGGACAAGCAGGCATTCAGTGCGTGGATCATGGAGCTGCACGCGGCCTTCCAGCCTCACGGTCTGCTGCTCTCTGCCGCCGTCTCGCCCAGCAACAAGGTCATCGATGCAGGTATAATAGCAGCAAAATGTTTATAATTGCTCTTTGAATGTTAAAAATATTTATATTAGAGTATGCAATACGTTCGTATATTGGTTAAATGTTTACTTTTTTAAAAGTTGAATTGATCAACCTTCTTAAGGAACGTCTTTCTTGAAGCGTGTGATTTTATATAATTCATCATCCCATGGTTGTAAAAACATTATATTGTATAAATTCTATGCTAGTTCAGTTCCTACAAAATAGATTTGACCATATCTGCCCCGTTTTACTGGCTTTAATCCCGTTATGGCTTATTTTCTTTGAACTAGGCTACGAAATCCCAATTCTGAACCGCTACCTGGATTGGATCGCTGTGATGACTTACGACTACCACGGCCAGTGGGACAAGAAGACTGGCCACGTGGCGCCCATGTACCGACACCCTGACACCACCAACGAGTTCTTCAATACGGTTAGAAGAGCTACTTCCTTCAAATCATTCTTTTTATTAAACTTGCCCTTTCCTAAACTCCTAGTACTGCTATTATTAACAATTACTATCTTGTTTATATTAATTTGAATAACTTTCATTGCAATGCTATTATGAGAGCTGGGAAATTTAAAACACATTTTTAAAGAAAGGGATGCAAAATTCGTTCACTTTCTGTTTAGTGTTAAATCCAGCACACTAAAAATGTTATAATCAGTCTAGGGAAGCTGATCTAGCTGAGTCCATTAATACGTAATTACACAATCCCCCTAGATGATAGAAGTTGATTGAACGATCATTTTGTGGGTTTCAATTCAGTCCACTCCGTGTCAACTTTTGGTAAAAAGTTATAATAACATTAACGTCTTTAATGCGTGCCGCAGAACTCTACAATCTCAACAGACCAGAGGGATACATAATAATTCGAATTTCTTCCCCGCTAATAGAGCTCTATAAGAGCCTCTAAAAGATGGAAAGATAAATAGTAATTTGGGACTTGGTTTTTTTCAATAAAACTCCACGATCCCCTAAATGCTGGGAGGAAACATAAAAATTTAAGACTTCTTTATTTCAATCGAACATTCTGATCCACTACTGACTAGTAGTATACATAATAATTTGACACTTGCTTCTCTCCTAAAGAACTCTACGATCCACTCAACAGGGTGAATTCTGCATCATAATTTAAGATTTTCTCTTTCCAATTAAAGAACTTCACGATCCACTACTGGCTTGAGGGAGGAGCGGACCGCAAGAAGCTGGTCATGGGCATGCCGATGTACGGGCAGTCCTTCACCCTCGCCCAGGCGGCTGACAACAGCCTCAACCAGAAGTCCTACGGCGGTGGAGAGGCCGGCTCCTACACCAGGGCCCAGGGCTTCCTAGCGTACTATGAGGTCTCTTTCAGTTACATCCGTTTTGATTGTGAATTAAGAACTCGAAAATCAAAATATTTGTTTTTGATTCTATTCGAGTTTAACTTGGGGTATTATAATTCTAGGTAAAAATTCTTGAGTGGATTTAATGGGTAAATCACTGACTTGTAAATGATTTCGTAGCTGCAGAGAGATAGACAGGCATTGAAGAATCAGAATAAACTATTATAGAAAATAAGGGCCTTTTAAATGTTGCAAGAGATTAGGTCTATCAAATTTAACATGTTGCAATCCAAGCCTTGAGGAGATTATAAAAAATATAACTCAGTACTCACTGCAGTGAGTGACAGAGAGCGCATTTTCTCGTCGACGAAAACTTGAGGTCACGGACAGACGGACAGACAGACAGCCAGACAGACAAACAGATAGACAGACAGACAGACAGACAGACAGACAGACGGACATGATGAGCACAATAGTGAATTTTTTCAATAAATGAGAAAATGCGCTAAAAATGAGCGATTTCCCTTTATTAAGTTGTTACAAGTTAGTGTCATGTCTCCATGTGGTAAAACGGAATTTTTTATTTTAGATATGCTACAAAATCAAGAACCAGGGCTGGACGGTGGTGCGGGACCCGCTGGGTACGATGGGTCCCTACGCATACCGAGGCAACCAGTGGGTGGGCTTCGATGACGTCGGCGTCATCAGGTACAAGGTTCGTGTTCTTACCACCGCATCTAGGGAAGAAAATTTTTTCCGAAATAGAGACTCTAGAACATTCGTGATCTGAGCTGACGCAGAAGTTTTAATATACGTATTTTCTAGAAGTTAGCTGTGGAAATCCTGCGTAGTTATTGTTTGATGATTGTGTCAAATAATTAAATTACAATCACAGTTCTAATTATTCCATAATTATCTCGACGTATTTTTGATCATTTTAATTTCATTTCTCGCGCAGTCGGAGTACATTAAGCAGATGGGCTTGGGTGGCGGCATGATCTGGGCTCTGGACTTGGACGATTTCCGTGACCGCTGTGGGTGTGAGAAGCATCCGCTACTGCGGACCATCAATAGAGTCCTGCGGAACTACCCTATTCCTGACCCTGACTGTCCAACCCTCGGAGGTGAGGTCCCTAACCCATAACGCAGTAAACGATAAATTCGAAGGCGTAGAAGTATTTGATTAAAGTCTGCTGCGTAGCCACTTTCCATCAAAATAATATTAACTTGATGTGCCACCCGGGCAAAGTGAATGTTATTATCAAAATAACGTTTGAATTTATCACACGTGCAATCACTCAGTAAAGATATAGACTTGGAAAAGGAATATTTTGGACGCTTGATTAAATGAGTACTTTTATTCTTATTCATTTTAAAAACTCTTCTTATATTGCTACTTTTTTCAACTTAACAATGGTTCAACGTTGTTATCATATTTAATCCTGTTTTTTTTTTTCTAAATCGTGAATTTTGACTTAGGTCATAGTTACTGTAAAAATTCATAACTTTACAGTAGTTTTATTAGTCAAGTAAACCTTTATCGATTGAAATGCTCTACCTCTGCTTAATAGACCAAGAAATGATTTTTTAGTGGGAGTGATTTTTAAACGATCGGAAAAGTGAATGCTTTTCCATAAAATTTCAAAATACGTATTTTCTGTCACGTGAGGGACAAATCTTAAATGAATTGTAACCAAAATTAAATTGAAAATTCTTGCAAAACTGTATTAAAAATCTAATTATGAAACCTCAGGAGGCCCGCCATCACAGCTGCTTCCATTTGGTAGTCCACCCTTAGCTTTGACCCCCACAACAACCACCACCACTACCCTACCACCGTGGATGACAACCAGGAAAACCACTGCTTGGACTCCTTGGCAACCATCAACCACTATCTCTACTCGTGAAAACACTGAAGCAACCACCCCTGCTACCACTCGCTTGATCACACGTCCACCATGGCTGTCCTCGAGCACTCGCAGAGCGACCACCACAACCACCAGGGCACCATGGTTACCTCCTGTAGAGGTAACACCACCTCGAACTACCACGGGGGCGGGTGCTGGTGCTGCTGCAGGTCAACCATGCGAGGTGGGGGAGTACCGACCCCACGAGTCTGACTGCAACAAGTTCTACCAGTGCAACCAGGGCGTGCTGGTTGAGAGGAAATGTTTCCCTGGGCTGCACTGGGCTGAGTCGGTGAGTGATGTGCGGGGCACTATAATAACAACAAATCCTATGCATAATTGTTCATGTATTTTTTATATTATTTTTTTTCGATGATCAGGCAGAAAAATTATTCCAATTCTAATACCTGCATTTCAATTTCATCCTTTTTATTTTTTTAATTCCTCGTGTTTCTTTAATTCAAAAGAATTTTGCTTCTGCCTGCATCAGCAACAGGCCATGGGCCTATTTCTCCAGTGCCGACAATTCTATTCTATTCTATAATTCTGCGAGGGTCGTTTAGTTGAACGCATCCTAAAGAAAAAAATGACAATTTACTACGTAGAAATTGCCATAAACCTATGATTCATTTCACTGGCTGTAAAGTCACAAATGAGTAAATAAATATTTCATGCTAGAAATTTACATTGTTTTTTTCTCGTGTGCAGCGCTGCGAGTTCGCTGACAAGGCGAACTGTAAGATTTCTGGCTCCCCCTCTGCTCCTTCCCGCCCGCCGCCCCCCGGGCTGCCCGCGACCCCCCCTCCCTTCGTAGACCAGCCCTCAACTTGGCAACCGCCACCACAGACCACCGCTGTTGCAATGGCCACTCCTAGACCAGTGACATCTGACCCTTCCGGCTTTAAGGTGAATATTAAATGATGAAGATATAATTATACTAATAACAGGTAGAAATAACAGAAGCGAAAAATCTGAAATTCATTACAGAGGACGAGTGAGAAATGAAATTCAAAATGAATTTTCACAACAACCAAAACACCAAATAAGTAGCCTTGGATCTAAAAGAAATAAAATTTACTGTTCACCTTTCATCACGACGTGATATTCGATTAAAAGTTATTAAATTCTTTTGTCTTCCATAGTTTTATATGTATTCAAAATTCTTTTGTATACATATAAATACTCTGAGTAGTTGTCACTTCCATCTTCTGAGTTATATAATGTGCTATCGCTATCAAGGAGACAGGTAATTGCCATCAAAACTTCCATTAGAAGATTCCTAAAACAATTAATTTACTTACGAAAAATTCTCAGAATTATTATTTTACCGGCATAATTTATATCTGTGTAATACTTGGAATTTACTATAAATGTCGTGTAGGTTGTGTGCTACTTCACGAACTGGGCTTGGTACCGCCAAGGCATCGGCAAGTACAAGCCCGAGGACATCGACCCCAGCCTCTGCACGCACATCGTCTACGGCTTCGCTGTGCTCGACGGTACCAGACTGCTCATCAAGCCTCACGATACCTGGGCAGACTATGATAACGGTGCGTCAGAGCCTAAAATATCATCCACATCACTTAAATATAAAAAAATACGGTCCAAACGGGAGTTGTGTGATTAACAGATGTTGTTCATGGGACATCCTTGTTCATCAGCGAGATTACCAAGGGTTCAACAAGAAAAGAGTGTGTTGAGTGTAATTCTACGCTCAAGGGTTGTGCTTTATATATTCGTACATAATTTCTCATTGTTTATTATAGTTAGAATTTCAGTCAATTATATCATATTTTATGAACAGAGTTCTACAAGAAAGTCACTGATCTGAAAGCAAAGGGCGTGAAAGTCCTCATCGCCATCGGCGGTTGGAACGACTCGGCAGGTGACAAGTACAGCCGACTTGTGAACAGCGCTGAGGCGAGGCGGAAGTTCACGGCACACGTCGTCGAGTTCATCCTCAAACACAACTTCGATGGCCTCGACTTGGACTGGGAGTATCCTAAGTGCTGGCAGGTGAGCTTATTAAGGTCGCTTTGCAATTAATTCGTTTCGTCGATGGAAAAGGAAAACGTACCATTAACTTGCGATGTAGAATATTTGATCATCGGTCATCTTCAAATTTCACTGGTATACGTAAAAGTATCATGGATTGATATCATCATGGATTGATATCATCAATGAAGGATTTTTTCGGACGACAGCCTTTTCCTCCATTTTCAGTGCTTATTCCGGAGCAACGAGAATTTTTTTGTCCGTTTCCATAAAATTTTTAAAAATGCGTTATTTTCCGTGCAATTTTTCGTATAAAATTTTTTGAGTAACCTTATCGCGAGCCACTGATGACGTTATTTCCTTTCGTCACTGGAAACCATATCCATTTTGAGTTTTTGACTTTAGTAGCCATCAATGTTTACTCATGATAACCTGGCTATTTTCATATATTCGCCACGTTTTGTCAGGTTGAGTGCAACAAAGGCCCCGAGTCCGACAAACCTGCGTTCAGTGCCTGGATACGAGAGCTGCACGCGGCCTTCCAGCCCCACGGTCTGCTGCTCTCGGCCGCTGTCTCGCCCAGCTACAAAGTTATCGATGCTGGTACATTTTGCTCTTTAATCCTCCCTTTAATATAATTCAAGTTCCAGGGAACTTCAAGTAAATGGCGATTCTAAAGATTAGCTGTTGAATTAGTTTCTTATATCTCGGGTTGAAGACGACTTATATTTTGAAACGCCATCGCACGTTTTTAGTTGTGCACGATAAATTGTGATTGAAAAATCGTCTCTGTATATATTTAGTTAAGTAAATTATGTTTGTTTTGCATTATTCAGCGTAAATTAAAGACCTTGTTGACCGTCTAGCAAACAAAGCCTCTCAAGCTCACGTATTGTACGCGGAGAAATCATAACTGGTAGATCAACTGGTAGATCAAATTGATGACACGTGTCTTGCTTTTAGGTTACGAAGTACCAGAACTTAACCGCTACTTGGACTGGATCGCTGTGATGACTTACGACTACCACGGCCACTGGGACAAGAAGACTGGCCACGTGGCGCCCATGTTCCATCATCCAGAGAGCCTTGTACCTGAATTCAACGCTGTAAGCTTTTACATTGATTTATTGTCCATCAAGATTTGACACTTTTTATGATTGCTTATATTATAGCGTTCTACTGGGTCTAAATTTGTCTTTAATTTAATACAGACAGAGAAATCCTATTTTAATCATGACTGTAGTTTATAGTTTAATTATTCCGCTTAAGAGTAGAGCCATTTATTAGTTTATTAATGCCGATAAATATTGCTATGCTTCCATAAATCTCTTTTGAATAGTTTTATAACTATTCTCTAATTCCAAATGGTCTCGAACAGAACTACACGATCCACTACTGGCTAGCGCACGGCGCAGACCGCAAGAAGCTTGTGATGGGCATGCCGATGTACGGCCAGTCGTTCGCCCTCGCCAGCGCCACCGACAATGGCCTAAACGCCAACAGTTACGGCAGGGGCGAGGCCGGAGAGTTCACCAGAGCCGGCGGCTTCTTGGCTTACTACGAGGTCTGTTCCTCGGCCTTATTTGCTCGGCCACCGACGTAAAGTGGCTTTAGTGTTTGCTTTCATTCAGATATAATTTTCTCATTGAAATTTAATTTATACCTTATTCCACACATACGATTAATCAATCATGAAGGTAATCTGCTTCTCAAATTAAATAGTTATCGAGTTGAAATTCTTAAATCATGTTGTGAGATTCAAAACTTCGTGATTTTCTTTATTTGTTAGAATATTGCGCATTGCTTCCGACTATTTCTCGGTTTAATTTCGAGTCAAGTAATATTTTTTTTATTTTAGGGCAACTTATGTCTGTTACTAAGTCTAATTTCTAAAAAGTAATTATCACGACAGATCTGCGACCGCATCATGAACCGAGGTTACACTGTGGTGCGAGATCCTCAAAGCACCATCGGTCCATACGCCTACAAGGGGGGCCAGTGGTTCGGATTCGACGATATTTCCATGATCAGATACAAGGTAAGCATTTGCTGATAATATATCCTCAACTGTAGTGTTTTTTAATGCTTGCAAACTTTTGATCGGCTTTTCACGATTGGAAATCGAGATAGCAACGACATGTACTTATTTTAGATGAAAGGTGAGAAAAAACCGACGTTGATGCTTGAGCTGCATTAAACACCAATGTCGCTTCCAATAGTTAACTTGAACGAAGGCATTTCTGTGGAAAGATAGAATGGCAATCAACTAAAAATGTTTTTGCTCATTTCTTAGCTGTGGAGACTTTATTTACTGATGCGATTAGCGCCTGCATTCCAGTTAGCAAGTCTGTTGCATTTATGTTCTCATTCCCTACAACGCGAAGAGTGTCATAGATATTCAGTTAATACTTATTATTTTAGGTAGAGGAGATATTCAAGTTCAATGCTTTCCTTAACTTTTATGACTTTCTTACTTTTTCATTTGACAGATTGTAAATGTTGTATATAATTGAAATATTTATATGTACTGACATAAGATTTGTTTGTAGTCTCGGTACGTGAAGGACATGGGGCTTGGCGGCGCCATGATATGGGCGTTGGATTTGGACGACTTCCGCAACCGGTGCGGCTGTGAGGAGCATCCGCTGTTGCGGACGATCAACAGAGAGCTTCGGGATTACCCGATTCCGGACCCGGGGTGCAGTATCTAACGGACTTTATTATTTAGGTATAATTGGGGTTACTATTGCTAAGAAATTTGCCTCGCAGTATCAGCATATGAAATTATTTTACAATTAGAGTAATTATTTTCGTAGACAAAAAAATAAAACTTTTGATGATTTTTCAAACATTTTTCAAGGTAATAGCCGACAAAATTTTTAATGTTTCAAGTCAAAAGTATGAAAATTGTTGTTCAACAGGAGATTGTGAAGTATATTATAACTCACAGACAGTGGGGATGTCTATATCTCTCTAATTTGACTGTCAACGGTCAAAACTTATCCGACAATGGGTTCGGCTGAAATTCCATCCATGATATATAAGTGTTTCTCATTCATATGAGTTGAGCGAATTATTTATTATCGGGACCAATATTTCATTGCTCACATTGACAAGGCAGCGCTGTTGCGAGCCCGTCATTGAAGGATATTATGTATACTGCATGCAGAACACACGCTTGTCCGGCTCTTGGTCCGGTATTATCTTGCTTACTTGATTATAGTTTTAATTATTGCGTTGCTCATTACAACACGTTGGTCTTATTTATATTTAGGCCTTGGTATTACTGATTATTTTGTTGCATTGGTAATTCATGCGCTGCTCACTCTGGCATTTTTATTATATAAGTAGCGGTGGGCATGTGCGCCTTTATGGGCATATTTTGAGGCATTCAAGATTTGTAAAAAATCTATGCTGGTTGACTGAGATTTTTTGTCATTACTCACTTGTGCAATAGAAGATCTAAAATGCATCGAAATTTATAGTTCATGACTTTCAACAACGGAGTTAATCATGGATTAATCTATAATTTTTATTTAATTTCAACAATCCTCTATAATTATTTGATGATCGAATACATTACGCTGTGATTCTAGAGGATAACTCAACGTTTCCTCAACAATTTTTGCACTGGTTCAACTTATGAGGCTGATCGTTCTCTCTGTTATATCAATTCCTGACAATTTTAATGTTAAATTTGAAAACATTCCTTCCAATCATATATATCTAAGATTTTTATTGTTTACTATCTGTTCTGTTAAATTATTTACAGCCTGTTCTGATGCCTATTATAATCATGTCACTCATGCACTACGCTTGCCCAGAAACTTGAACGAGTCAATAAAATTGTATGAATACAATTCATTTTCTTTACTACCTTATAATTCATAAAATGTATAAACTAGCACACACTTCTTTAGTAACTACTGAATTATAACCTTGTCATTGTATTCAAGTTATTTAACGTTCATATATTATCATTACCAATGATATTATTTGCTTCCAAGCCTGTTATTGACGTCTGCGTGGGGTCCTCAGTGAAGTATACAAGTATACTCATGGTTTATACAAGGTCCCAGAAAAATTACTAGAATTTGAAACAACAACCAACACCAGGGGCCACGGCTATAAACTAAAAAAACTGCGCTGCAATTTTTCCACACGACAACATTTCTTCTCGCTTCAAATCACTGACGTGTGGAACAGCCTGTCCGATGACATCGTTGGCGCTCCAAGTTTGAACGCGTTCAAGAACAGACTAGATAAAGTTATGAAAAAATATATGTTCAGATTTGAAATGCCTACCACCATATAGAACCCGGTGGAAGTCTAGTAGCTATTTCAAACTATCGTCAGTCATGAAAAGATCCGGTCAAATGACACGATTTTAGATCTTCTGTGAACAAGGCACGAATAGGAAAAGAATCGGCGACAGGCCACATCAGGCTTACACTTTAGCGCCGACATCACTATGTTATGTTATGATTTGCCTAAATATGCATAAAAACTGTAAATATTGGGTGCGATTAACGTGACTTGCCACGTTTTTTTTAATGAACTTCCACCTCATCTGCATTCGACGGAGTAAGGATGAGAACCCATAATGGCTGCTAAATCATTTACTTTCTTAACCGAATCAATAACTGTAACGTTCAAAATAAGGTTTCTAAAAATTTTCTCATTGCCTTTGATGGTCAAAACGGGTTTCTGAAACTTAATACTTCCAAAAATAGTGTGTTCTTGTTACTAACTACCAATACTAGACATAACATTAATATGTTGTTTCATAAACACGTTTCGTTTTTCAAGAACAAAATATCTTAAACTCTTACGATCAGTTTCCAAATGTTGACGAAACAGAATCCTCAATTGCCGAAAATTCTGCCAGTGATAGGAAACCGTGTCATCAAGGGATGGCCAGGATTGCGGCGATGAGGCCCGCCCAGGTCTCCTCGGCCGTCGGCACGATTTCGATGGCAGGAAGCAGGAATCCGTAGGTGCCGGTGTCCCTGAGCTCCAGGGTGAAGGAGTAGGTGATACCCAAGGCGTAGCTGTAGTCGATGGTGGTGCTGGCAGCAGGGTCTGCCAAACAAATAATTATTTCTCGAAAAGAACAGTGTTTAAAGGTATTAGCAGCAAGAAAACTAGATTGATCATTAACATTATTCTCCCGGAAATGCTTCATTTCAGTTCGAAGGATGCAGATAGAAAATTCGGGTGGATAGCTAGAGGTCAGCATAGCCCAAGTCCACAGTGCGATTCATATACCTCCCCGAGCGTAACGCAGCCGGGCATCTTCACGGCTTTCGACACATAGCGCCCACCACAACAGCGCCGTTCAGTCACAGGCACTGTCTCACAGCGCCGGAGCACAACTGGCCGGAGCGCAACATGCCCTACCGCAACAGGCTACTCCTAACTTAACCTAACCTAACCTGCGCCTGTTGCGGTAGGGCCTGTTGCGCTTCGGCCAGTTGTACTCCGGCGCTGTGAAGCAGTGGCTGTGTTGTGCAAAGCGGATTTACTGTTAGCCGGAGTTACCCACATCTCATTGACCTGAGGCTATGTGTAGATATTGCATGCTGATGGTTGGCGTTGGGCCTAGGGCCTGTTTACGAGTCAATTTTGTTACCCACGGCTGCGCTCCCGAAAATTTTTTCACCGAGACAAATCATGATCCGTCCGGTGAATTGTTCATTTGAGCAATTTCATTAATTGCTTAAAATTGAGACCTTGTTCATTTAAGCAATTTCAAGCAATTTCATTAATAAACTATCGAAGGATTTGAGGCTATGGATTTCAACTGCAGAGATGTGTGGCCGTTGTAAATGAATTAGCCAGAAGTTAGGTCAGACTGTAACTCATGCTAATAGATGAGTAGTACTCACAAATTGTGGTGGAAACTGGGCCGTATTGGTAGGCGGTTCCGTGCACGGCGGTCAAAGCTTCAACGCCGATAGCAGAAATTCGGTCCTGATTTAGAAAATAGAATATTTGTTCTAAAACTGGAAAAAACTAAAACCTGTTCATTTTTTTAGAACCATCCACACTTTTTGCAATGGATAAGCAGTGCCTTCAATGTTGGAACGTTTATATTTTACCTCATTCCAATTTCTATTGTCGTCAGATGATTTATAATCTTACTTAGAATTCATAGCATTGATGATAAAACTCATCCGGTAATTTCATATATGATGCAAATAATTCTGAACGCTACTGACTGACCAGTTCGTCAGCATCTGGTGGGAGGTCCGAGGTGTATCCGTAAGGATACATCCACAGCTGGCGGTAGGAGTGGATGCTGAAGAGCGCCGCGGCTTCAGGGGCCAGGGCTGTGATGGCAGCCTGAACGGCCTGGGTCTCAGGCTCCGATGCAGGTGATGGACCTCAATAGGGAAGTAATTATCTCTAAATTCTGTATAAGTGATTTCTAAAATATTGAGAGTGAAACCTCAATTCATTTACTAATTACACGTCTCTTTGTAATCGATAGAAACAAGCTGTGATCAGTGTCAGTGGATATTATTAAAATATTATTGAAAGGGTGGTGTAGCCGACGCACTCTGATATAATATTGGCAAGATGATATAATATTAGCAGTCGTTAACCTCTGTAATTTAAGGAGCATGAGTCGTTGGATGTTCCAACACCGCCGAAATTATCGTCGAAGTTCCTGTTGAGGTCGACTCCCACACACTCGTTGCCGGGATAAACCGCTAGGTTCTTCCTCCACAGTCTGTCATCCTGAAAAACATGTATCAGATTTGCTTACGTTTGCATGAGTAATTAAGTATTTTCGTACAGTTCACTGGCAACTTAAAAATTAGTAATATTAGGAGGCCTACACGTTAATCATTCATTTAAGTTATTGTATTAACTATAATTATAGTCATTCATTATAAGTTATTGAAATTCTGAGACACATCGCCGTGGATATGTTGATTGATTCCGAGTGATAACCATTCCCTGTATATTCCAGCTATAAAAGTTGTCACATTTTGGCGATAAGTACGAAAGATCTCCTTATAACTAAAAAAATTTTCATATTAAGTACTAGGCACAATGAATAGAATAGAAGTAACGGCATTGAAGAAATAGGCCCATGGCCTGTTGCCGATTCTTGAACTTTTCGTGACGATTCACAAGGGATCCGGCCTTTGGAACCCGATCTTTCCACAACTGACGATTGATTGAGATAGCTGCTGGACTTATTGCCTGCGAAGGTACTTTCAAACATTGCACTGCTCCGTAAGTTGCTAGGCATTTTAAGACTGAACATATGCTCCTACATAGCTTCGTCTAGTCTGTTCTTGAAGGCTTTCATACTCGGAGCGTCAACGATGCTATCAGGGAGGCTGTTCCACATGTCGGTATCGATAACTTATTTGTTAAGCAAATATAGGTTATTATCGTATAAGAATTGATAATGTAACGATAATTCTTGCTGGTGGAAATGAATACTCGTCTGAACAAATGAGAAAAGAACGATATCACAGAAACTAAGGGCCGTGTCTCAGTCATTATAAAATGCAATCACGTTTGGTTTGACGTTCCTGAGAGCACTGCATCAGAGACAAGTGAGAGGTTGCGGTTGACGCTGCTTTTATTACTAATTATTATGGCAAGACTCTTAGCGTCTCGGTGGATACAATGACATGCAAAAGGCTGCGATCGAACGATTGTGCCACCTGCAGACCTTGCTGGTGACTGCATGTGTAGGATACAGCCCAGGACAGGCTTATGCTTAAGGCTGATAGAAAACTAAGTGACTAGTATAAGACACTCAATATGGCCTTATTGCCGGTGTATCCTGCATCACTTACCTCTTGTCTACTTTGAATGATTGGCTCGCCTGCTGGATGACTGGGAACATTGGAATTTGCTTAAGCATTTGACAGAGTTCCTTGAAGATGCCTTGAGCGTGTTACATTCCTTGAAGGTGCCTTCAACATTTCGGATCAAAGCCAACTTACACTCCAGGTGTAGGCGTAGCCATCGGGATTGTTGACGGGCAGGACGTAGAGGTCGTAGGCGTCCAGGAGGGCAGTCGCGCCCTCGTCAGAGCCATAATTGTTCAGCAGGAAGTCGATGCCCCACAAGCACGTTGCCGGCCCGATCCATCTGTGAACAAATTAAAAATTAACTTTCGTTCATGTCGATTCAATGCACAGGTTTTATTTGATCAAAGAAACAAGATTCTCAAGTGATTCCAGTGAATGCACTCTTACTCTCTTGCGTGGATGCCGCAGTCGATCCAGACGGCCTTCTTGCCAGCGCCCACCGAGATTTTCAGTTGCCAAAGATCGCGGCCTTCGACGGTCTTGCCGAGCGACACGAGGCTCGTGCGGTCGTCGCTTGCGGGCAGGCCGGCCAAGTACGCCTCGATCTGATCAAGAAATTTATCACTTCATTTACATATTATTTCAAAAAGATTCTGTTCCACCAAATGGAAGATTTTTCAAATTCAATTAGTTGCACTCTATACTTGCAACAAATGAGATTAATTTGGCTTATATAGGATCGTACCTCTTCCCAAGTGTTGTAATCATCGAAGGCAATCTTCAAGTCCTTATTTTTCTTCGCCAATCTCGCGAAGTCTCGTTCGATAAGCCTGAGGTAGAATTTTAAAACATTCAGAACTCGGTAGAATTTACTAAAAGGAGCTTATTGTCACGAAAAAGGCTGCGAATGCCTTTAAAAAAATTATACACAGTCAATATATTCGAACAAAAATAAATTATATAGTTTCAATGGGTTTAGAGCAAGTAAACTTTTAGCGGGGTGAAAATTACGCATTTTTGTGAGGAAGAATTATATATTTTCCAACTTCCTCGTTAAGTTAGAGCACGCTACTCACGGCTGCACGTCTTGGATCATGATGGAACTATGGATGGCTTTAGCCGCCAGGCTTGTCATGACTCCGTGACGAAGTTTGGGGTCCACGAGGACGTCAATCCAATCCTTGCCTCGTCCCCACACGTCCATGTTGTGCTTCTCCAAGATGGCGGAGAAGGCAGGCTTCTGCTCCTCACTAACCTCTAGACGCCATACCTGGAAACTGGACAAAATTGCCGTTTTTATAACCGCAAGTAATCTTAGAATAAATCCCAGTAACTGTCAGGTTATTGTTCATTTTAACTTCATATTCAAACAAATAATACTTGGAGATAAAGTTATTTAAAATTCGCCCTTAATGTGGGGCATCAGTGTAGAATGAACTTATCACTGATTATGTTAAAACTGAAATTACACAAACTTAAGTGCGAATAAGTAGTGGCAAACGAAACTTCATTAATCATGAAAAACCTGTCACAAATTAGGGTGAGAATGCAATGCAATGCGCCTTACCCTTCGTATGAAACCCTGGCCGAAGCCAAGGCCACGACGGCGGTCAACGCAAGAAACCGAATCATGCTGAACAATGAGGTAACGTCGCGCTGCCCTGCGTTTTATAGACGTTATAGCCCATGTAATTGGAGAGCAAACTGTTGTGTTGTTGTGGGCTTATCTTCGAGGTCAGGTGCGACCGTTCACATATTCCGTAGATAGGTGGAAAAACAGGTTAATATCTGCTGCTGAATTTTTGCATAAACAATTTAGAGATGGTACAGATGAATTCTTCTAACATGTTAAAATACTCCATGTATCGCTGTATAATACAACAATACTGAACCGTGTACTATATGTACTTTATTCGAAGAAACTATTTATTGGTGTCAAGTGATTATTCATTACTCACGGAAAATTCTTCGTTTTCTTACATACTTCGCATTAATAATCCTAAACTCAAATTCATTGCGACATTATGACTTAAATGAAATGTTCACATTAAATCCCATATAGGTATATATGACTTGAAAAAGTAGCTGAGATTTGGCGTTTGAAATGTTTGGTAGGCCTGAAGAAAAAAATTCTCCATGATTGTCAGTACTACCAAAACTACAAAATAATCAAGTTCTCCATTTCATCCGTTCTATGAGATGTTACATGTGATTCCGTATATTGCTGCAAACGATTAACTCTACAAACAATCAATGCCCGGCGCGGTGCTGTCACATGGTGCGTGGGAGACTTGCACATGCATTATTGCAGTAGTCAGACATAACTTTTTCGGAACAAAAGATGTCACTCACCATGATATTCTCTCCACTGAACTAATATCAACCTCGATATATATGATATGAATAGGGGATTTTCAGCTATTATTTAACTATGGTAGTCAGGTAAACATTAACATTTTGAAAATAATTATTTGAATGTAAATAGCGCTTAACTTTCATCGTTGGTGTAACGTTTGAGGCTGATCGGTTCGTTTTCTCTCTTATCTCCATACCTGACAATTTTAATGTTACAGTTGATAACATTCATCTAAACCGTATCTATTTATAATTTTCGTTGTTTACTCTCTGTTCCGTTTAAATTATTTACAGCATGTACTGATGCCTATTATATTAATGTCATTCATGTACTACGCTTGCCCAGAAACTTGAACGAGCCAATAAAATTGTGGGAATGGAATAATTTCTGAACTACCTTATAATTTGTGCAATGTATAGACTAGTACACGCTTCTTTAGTTATTAATGAATCAAAACTTTACTGTTTTTTTAAATGATTAGACGCAAATTTGAAAATGTATTACCACCGATTTGCCTAAACATTCTTTAAGACATTAAACATTCTTATTGGGCGCGATTATATTGATATATCGGACAAAATTTTATTTTGAAATTCCCTCGCGTTCATTTTCTGCTGAAGGAGTAAGGAGAAAATACGCTTTGATTATTTCATAGTTTACTTCATTTAATGAATCACTGAAACTAATTTCTAAAAGTCTGAATTTCTTAATAATGGATCATTTCTTTTGATGACAGCTACGGGTTTCGAAAAATTAATAGTATTGACATACATTTTTTCTGGATTTCTGAACAGTGCATTGAACAGAAGGTCTTATATTTTCTTTCTAAGATTAAACCGATCTAAAACTCCAGTTTAAAACCAAAAAAGCATTTTTAAAATCAATTTTCAAATATCGACCAAACAGAATCCTCAGCTACCCAAAAGGATGCCGTTCACTGGACACCTCGACCTCAAGGGATGGCCAGGATACCGGCGATGAGACCCGCCCAGGTCTCCTCGGCCGTCGGCACGATCTCGATGGCGGGAAGCAGGAATCCGAAGGTGCCGGTGTCCCTGAGCTCCAGGGTGAAGGAGTAATTGATACCGGCAGCGTAGCTGTAGTCGATGGTGGTGCTGGCAGCGGGGTCTGCCAAACGAACAATTATTCCTCGAAAAGTTCAGTATTTAAAGGGTTTGACAGTAAGCGCACCAGATAATATGAGCACTATTCTACCGGGATATCTTTATTTTAGTTCGGAGGATGCACATAGAAAATTCTATCACCCCGAAAAATCATGATCCGTCAAGTAAAATATTCATTTATTTATGCTTCAGAATTTTAGGCAATTTCATTAATAAACTCTCGAGGAATTTGAGGCTACGGGTTTCAACTGCAGAGATATGTAACCATTGTAAATGAATTAGCCTGAAGTTATGTTAGACTGTAACCCATGCTAATATACGAGTAATACTCACAAATTGTGGTGGAAACTGGGCCGTATTGGTAAGGGGTTCCGTGCACGGCGGTCAAAGCTTCAACGCCGATAGCAGAAACGCGGTCCTGATTTAGAAAAATAGAATATTTGTTGTAAAACTTCAAATGAATGTTCGTTCTTAAAGCAACACCCGCTTTTTGTGCCATCAATGAATAAATAAGAACTGTCTTCAACTTAGGAACGTAGATTTAGGCATATTCTAATTTCCAATCGCAGTGACTGAACTCTTACTTTGAATTCTGATCGTAAATGTTAAAACCAATTCGCATATATCATACATGAAGGAAACCGCTCTGAACTCTGCTGACTGATGTCCGGGGTCAATTAGGCATTTAATTTTATTCAATATAATTATATTCTAAGATTAGATCATCTCATTCATCTGTAGCTGAGACGTAATATTCACAAGGCGTGGTAGAGATTGATGGAAAAGTATTAGTGCTGAGTCAGCATGGACAACATCACGCGATCAAGACCGCAGAAGTGGGCGGAAGTCATAAGTCTATAAAAGGGCTGGGAATCTTTGTAAGGCTCCCAGTAACTAACTAGCACGCTGCAATGTAACACTCGATAAAGTTACTGTGAGCTATTGGTCGACGGGTTAGCTTATACCAGTATTGAATCTCTCGCACGTATAACCGCTCTAGCTGTATCAAAATCAATTCTATAGGAAGAAGTGTCTTTCTAAACTCTCACACAGTAAGTCGACGAAACCCTGTCCTCAGGTTGGAAATATATAATCAGTCAGGCGGCTCTCAAAATCGTCGCCTGTCACTGACCAATTCTGCAGCATCAGGTGGAAGGTCCGAGGTGTATCCGTAAGGATACATCCACAGCTGACTGTAGGAGTGGATGCTGAAGAGCGCCGCGGCTTCAGGGGCTAGGGCTGTGATGGCAGCCTGAACGTGTTGGGTCTCGGGCTCAGATGCAGCTGATGGGCCTGAAATGGGAAGCAATATCTCTAAAGTTTAGAAGCGATTTCCAAAGTACTGAGAGCGGAACCTCAATTCATTTACATACTAACTAAATGTCTCTCGTGTAATCGCTAGAAACAAAATGTGATCAGTACTTGCCGATCTTAATAAAATATTATTAGAAAATAGTGAAGTAGAGAAAGGAATTTATGTACCATGTGTAGTTATTAACCTCTGTAAGTTTCGGAGCATGAGTTGCCGGATGTTCCAGCACCACCGAAATGGTCGTCGAAGTTCCTGTTGAGGTCGACACCAGCACACACGTTGTCGGGATAGGAAGCTCGGTTCTTCCTCCACAGCCTGTCATCCTGGGAAATATAAATCAGATTTATTTACATTTTTGTGAGATTAAATATTTCACTGGTAACTCATAAATTAGTTAACATTGGGTGGCCTACAAGTTAATCATAGATAATTCACTATAAGCTATTGAAATTCTGCGACACATCGCCGTGGATTTGTTCATTGGTTCCGAGTGATCGCCGTTCCATGTATATTCCGCCTGCAAATGTTGCCACTTTTTTTTGGTGATAGGTACGAAGGATCACCTAACAACTAAAAAAATTTGCCATGTTAGTACTAGACACACTATCGATGCCTGATTTGTTACGCAAATATGATAAACGTATGGGTATGGATAATTATCGTATGGGTATTGATAAACTGTAGTGTTAATTTGTGGAATACCTAAATTAGTAGCCATCACTCTATTTATACAATGAGCTTTCAGAAGGAACTACAAATGTAATGGAATAATTCCATATAATGAAACGTTGAGGCTGCTTGCATTACTATGTTCTATCTACTTGGTTCTTAGCAGCTATGATTGAAACATGGAAATCCGCTTCTGAGCAAGAGTATATCCTAAATTAACCGATTAGAAACATTTTTTCTTACTGACGTGAGTCCCGAACGTTTTCCATTCGAAGAAATGCCTGCAACATTTCGAAGTAAAGCCAACTTACACTCCAGGTGTAGGCGTAGCCATCGGGATTGTTGACGGGCAGGAAGTAGAGGTCGTAGGCGTCCAGGAGGGCAGTCGCGCCCGCGTCAGACCCATAATTGTTCAGCAGGAAGTCGATGCCCCACAAGCATGTCGCCTGCCCGATCCATCTGTGAACAAATTAAAAACCAACTCTGATTTTCGTCTATTCAATGTACAGGTTTTATTCGATCATAAGAACAAGATTTTTAAGTGCTTCCAGTAAATGCACTCTTACTCTCTTGCGTGGATGCCGCAGTCGATCCAGACGGCCTTTTTGCCTGCGCCCACCGAGATTTTCAGTTGCCAAAGATCGCGGCCTTCGACGGTCTTGCCGAGCGACACGAGGCTCGTGCGGTCGTCGCTTGCGGGCAGGCCGGCCAAGTACGCCTCGATCTGAGCAATAAATGTCATAAAGATATATTGTCTACTCGTTTAAAAAAATTTTATTCTAAAGAGAGGATAATTTTTCAACTACAATTGATTTCACTCATTAAGGAGATTAATTTGGATTTTAGGGCATCATAGCCTACCTCCTCCCAAGTATTGTAGTCATCGAAGACAATCTTCAGAGCCTTGTTTTTCTTAGCAACTCTTGCGAAGTCTTGTTCGATCAGCCTGTGTTAGAATTAAAAAAAAAAATTAAAAACTCGCTTAAATTTCCTACCGTAAACTTATGATCATGAATTATGCTACGAATTATTATTAAAGAAGTCTTTCGCAGTCAGTTTGTTCTGCACATATATATCATTTTGAAGTTAAATAGGTTTACTGCAAATAAACTTTTATCAGGATGAAAATTAAGTTCGTTCTTAGGAAAGAATTATATATTTTGGTACTCCGTGCGTTACTAACCGCTGCACGTCTTGGATCAGGATGGAACTATGAATGGCTTTAGCCGCCAGGCTCGTCATGACTCCATGACGAAGTTTGGGGTCTACGAGGACGTCAATCCAATCCTTGCCTTCTCCCCACTCGTCCATGTTGTGCTCCTCCAAGATTGAATTGACGGCAGGCTTCTGTTCTTCACTAACCTCCAGTCGCCATACCTGGAAACTGGACAAAATTTCCTTGTTCAATATCGGCCAATAATCCTAGAAAAAATTCTGCTATGCGTCAGGTTATTTTTCATCAATCAATTAATGAAGATATTTCAAAGTCACCCTTGTTGTGTGTTTTCAGTGTAGCATGAACTACTCAATGTTCATGTCTAAATTAAAATCATACAAACTTAAGAACGAGTAAATATTGCAAACGAAACTTGATTAATATTGAATAAGCTTGCAAAAATTGAACAGGAAAAACAATACATTGCACCTTACCCTTCGTATGAAACCTTGGCCGAAGCCAAGGCCACGACGGTGAACAACGCAAGAAACCGAATCATGCTGAACAATGAGGTAACGTCGCGCTGCCTTGCGTTTTATAGAAGTTATAGCCCATGTAATCGGAGTGCAAACTGTTGTGTTGATGTGGGCTTATCTTCGAGGACAGGTGCGACCGCTCACATGTTCAGTAGAAATGAGGGAAGACTGATTCAATATCAGTTGCTGAATCTTTCCATAGACAAGGTAGAGCTAACACAGATGAATTCTTCCAGTATGTTAAAATACTCTCTAGGTATCGCTGTATAAAACAACAATACTGTTCCGTATACTTAATACACTTCATATTTGAAGAAACGATTTATTGGCATCAAGTGATAATTCACAACTCACAGAACATTCTTAGTTTTCTTACACACCTCGCATCGAACCTCAAATTTATTGTAAATGTATGATTTAAATGAAATGTACACATTAGATCCCGTAGGTTAATGACTTGAAAAAATAGCTGAGATGTGACGTTTGGAATGTTTGCTAGTCCTGACAAATAAAATGGTTTCAAATTCTCCATTGTAAACGTTCTATGAGATGTTACATGTGAATCTGTATATTAGTGCAAACGATAAACTCTATTCTACGCTACAAACAATCAATCAAGTCTCCCACGGTGCGTGGGAGACTTGCACATGCATGATTGCAGTAGTCGGATTTGGGAGCGCAGCCGTGCACCACCAATTTTGTGCATCAATAAGCCCTGAATCAAACGCCTTGGATCTCTCCGGACCTACACCAATCAGCCGTGCACCACTCGGCTTTGTCCTTTTCCGGCCTTGACCATGCACCAGCTGCCGTGCACCACCAAGCCGCGGATCGAATATGACTTCGGGCATCGTTAAATTACGTAATTTTACGTTCACCGCATCTGAGGTTAGGTTTCAGATAGCATAGTTCTGTTCCAAAATTTATCGTCCTTCGACAAGTGGCCGTTCGATCGAGGGCTGGTTCGACCCACGGCCTAGATACGGACGGCTTGAAGTGTTTAAGGCTACGTTCCGGAAGGCAGGAATCATGATGGTCCATTACATCCAGGGCAGTGGTGGTCTTCGACAGTCGACCCGTCGGATTTAATTTTTCCAGAACATGTTATTCACCATGGGATTCTCTCCACTGAACTAATATCAACCCCGATTTACATGCTGTGGAGAGGTGATTTTCAGTTATTATTTTATTCTTATAGTCAGGTATACATTAGTAACATTTTGAAAGTAATTATTTGAATGTAAATATTGCTCAACTTGCATCGGTGGTGCAACTTTTGAGGCTGATCAGGTCGTTTTTTTCTGTTTGTTCCATACCTAATAATTTTAATGTTAAAGTTGATAACATTCATCTTAAAAGTATTTATTTGTGATTTTGATTGTTTACTCTCTGTCCCATTGAAATTATTTACAGCTTATTATGATGTCTGTTATGATGTTATTAATACGATGATGCTTGTTATGAGGTTATTATCTTGTCTTTTATGTGCCACGTTCGCGCAGAAACTTGAACGAGTCAATAAAATTGTGTAAATACGAATCATTTTATGTAATAGTTTATAATATGTGCAATGTAGAGACTAGTACACGCTTCTTTAGTTAATACTGAATCAAAATAATGCTGGTTTATTTAGATTGTTAGTCGCAAATTTAAAAATTGTTCCACTGATTAGCCTAAACATGCTTTAAGACTTTATGTATTGGATGCGACCATGTTGATTTGTCTGGCGCCATTTTATATTGAACTTTCATCGCGTTCATTTTTGTTTGAAAGAGTATGGGGAAAATAAGTTTTGATTATTTCATCATTTATATACTTCGTTAAATGCATCACTGAAAATATTTTTAAAAGTTTGAATTTCTCAATAATGTCTCATTTCTTTTGATGACAGGAGTAGGTTTCGGAAAATTAATCATATTGATATACTTTTATTCTGTTTCTTTGAACTATGGCATCAAACAGAAGACATTATATTTTCTTTCTAAGAATGAGCCGATCTAAGACTCCGGTCTATAAACGAAGAAGCGTAACCTCTTAAAATCAGTTTTCAGGCATCGACCAAACAGAATCCTCGTCTAGGTAAAAGCCTGCCATTCACTGGACTCCTCGACCTCAAGGGATGGCCAGGATACCGGCGATGAGGCCCGCCCAGGTCTCCTCGGCCGTCGGCACGATCTCGATGGCGGGAAGCAGGAATCCGTAGGTGCCGGTGTCCCTGAGCTCCAGGGTGAAGGAGTAGGTGATACCGGCAGCGTAGCTGTAGTCGATGGTGATGCTGGCAGCAGAGTCTGGCATACAAGCAATTATTCATAGAAAAGTTTAGAATAAAAAGGGTTTGACAGTAAGTGGACCAGACAGTGTGAGAACTATTCTACCGGGATGCCGTTATTTCTGTTCAGAGGATGCAGATACAAAATTATATCACCCTGAAAAATCATGATACGTCCGATAAAATGTTCATTTATTTATGCTTGAGTTTTTAAGCAATTGCATTGATAAACACTCGAAGAATTCGGGGCTAAGGGTTTCAACTGCGGAGATGTGTGACTATATAGTAAATAAATTAGCCTGAAGTTAAGTTAGACTGTAACCCATGCTAATATACGACTAATACGAGTAGTACTCACAAAGTGTGGAGGAAAGTGGGCCGTATTGGTAGGCGGTTCCGTGCACTGCGGTCAAAGCTTCAACGCCGATAGCAGAAATGCGGTCCTGATTTAGAAAATAGAATATTTATTAAAAAACTTCAAAAGAAATGTTCGTTTCTTAAGCACCACCGGCGTTTTAGGCTATATAAGTAAATAAGCACAGCTTACAACGCAGAAATGTAGGCATATTCTAATTTCATACCGCGCAGTGAAAGAACTCCAGCTACTTAGAATTCTCATCGTAAAGGGTAAAACCAATTCGAATATTTCATATATAATGGAAAACACTCTGAACTCTGCTGACAGATGCCCGGGGTCATCTAGATGTTTAATTCTATTCATTATAATTATATTTTAAGCTTAAATCATCTGTAATTGCGGCGTAATTTCCACTGGGCGTGGTAGAGATTGATGAAATATACTAGACCTGAGTTAGCATGGACAACATCACGTGACAGGTCATGCAATCAAGGCCACAGTAGTGGGCGGATGTCATAAATCTATAAAAGGGCTGGGAACCTTCGTAAAGCCTCCAGTAACTAACTTGCACGGCGCGATGTAACACTCTTTAGAACTACTCTAAGCATATTGAGACGCAAGCTAATAAATCCAACAAACTTCTTGGACTTGTCAGACGCTCATTCGAAGTTCCTAGATGCTATACAGATGAAGCAGTTATTTGTTGCTGTCGTACGCCCAAACCTAGAGTTTGGAAATGTCGTGTGATCACCGAAACTTTAAAAGGACAAAAATTTAGTGGAGAGTGTTCAAAGACGTGCAACAAGGAAAATTCCAGGCTTTAATGGCTAGTCCTATGAAGAGAAATTGAATATTTTTAAGTTTCCAAGCCTCTGTTATCGACGCCTGCGTGGGGAGCTCATTGAACTTTACCAGTATACTCATGGTTTACACAAGGCCCCAGAAGAATTACTAGAATTTGAAACGAGAACCAACACCAGGGGCCACGGCTATAAACTGAAAAAACTGCGGTGCAACTCACCCACGCGACAACATTTTTTTCTCGCTTCGAAGCACCGACATATGGAACAGCCTCCCCGATTACATTGATGACGCTCTGAGTACAGACGCGTTCAAGAACAGACTAGACAAAGCTATGGACAAATATATATTCAGACTTGAAATGTCTAGCACCATATCGAACCCGGTGGAAGTCTAGTAGATATTTCAAACTACCGACGTTTTGGAAAAGATCTGGACGAAGGAACTGTTTTTAGATCTCCTGTGGACAAGTCACGAAAAGTACAAGAATCGGCAATATGCCATATCAGGCCTATTCTTCAGCGCCGACTTCGATATGCCGTGCTATGCTACTCCGACCTAACGGTCGACGTCGTCGACTACACTGCAGCTGCGCAGCTCGCCAGTCTCTTGTCGACCAGGGTTCTGCTGGTTACTAGGGGAGTGTGCCACATCTAGGTCTCTGTGAGACTGTCATTCGTGTAGCTTCCAGTATCGGGAGTGGACACCTGCTTGTGCCTTATGGAATATCACAGGTAAGCCGTCTGTGTTTATCTAGTTGAACATCGTAAGCCGTCTGTGTTTGCCTGGTGGGAAAATATTGTATACAGACTGTGTATATTTGGCGGAGGAATATCGTAAGCCGTCTGTGTTACCTAGCTTAGGACATTCTTAGCAGTCTGTGTTTTCCCAGCGTAGGGTATTTTAACTGCCCGAGTGCCCGTATTTATAAGTTTTAAAGATCGTGGATTCATGGGCTTTTAGCTTCCTTATTAAAGATTTATAAAGTAGGTTTTAACTGCGTTTACTGGCCTATTTCTCAAGTTATGCGTCGATTTCACTATCCCGTCGGGGTAGTCAATATATGTTGAAGATCTCCCGCAACAATACCAGTATTTTATCTCTCATGTATATCCAAAACGTATCAAAATAAGTACTATAGGAAGAAATGTCTTGCTTATCCCTCAAGCACTTAGTCAACGAATCCCTGTCCTCAGGTGGAAATATATAATCAGTTAGGCGGCGCTCAATATCGCCGCCTGACACTGACCAATTCTGCAGCATCAGGTGGAAGGTCCGAGGTGTATCCGTATGGGTACATCCACAGCTGACTGTAGGAGTGGATGCTGAAGAGCGCCGCGGCTTCAGAGGCTAAGGCTGTGATGGCAGCCTGAACGTGTTGGGTCTCGGGCTCAGATGCAGCTGATGGGCCTGAAATGGGAAGCAATATCTCTAAAGTTTAGAAGCGATTTTCAAAATATCCGAGAGCGGAACCTCAATTCATTTACATACTAACTAAAGGTCTCTCTTGAAATCACTAGAAACAAACTGTGATCAGTACTTGCCTATCTTAATAAAATATTATTTAAAAAATAGTGAAGCAGGTGCAGGAACTTATGTAATATGTGTAGTTAATAACCTCTGTAAGTTTCGGAGCATGAGTCGTCGGATGTTCCAGCACCGCCGAAATGGTCTTCGAAGTTCCTGTTCAGATCGACTCCCACACACACGTTGTCGGGATAAGAAGCTCGGTTCTTCCTCCACAGTCTGTCATCCTGGCCGAAATTAGTATCAGATTTACATACATTTTCGAGAGTAATTAAGTATTTTCGTACAGTTCAATGGCAACTCAAAAATTAGTTAATTTTGAGTGACCTGCAACTTAATCAGATTATTCACTATAAGTTATTGAAATTCCGCGACACATGGAAGTGGATTTGTTGATTGGTTCCGAGTGACAAGTGTTCCCGCCATATTCCGCCTACAAATATAGGTACGAAGGCTACCTACATAAATGATAGATGCGAAGGATCTCCTTATAACTATAAATGATTCAATATTATTACCCAGCACAATGTATATATAGTTGATTTACTACGCAAATATAATTAATTATCTTACGGGGATTGATATACTGTAAAGATCATTTGTGGTATACCTAAATTAGTAGTCATTATTCTTTTAATACAATGAGCTTTGAGAAAGTATTAAAAATGTAATGGAATTATTCCATATACTGACACATTGAGATGGCTTGAATTACTATGTTCTATCTACTTGATTCTAAGCTGTTAAGATTGAAATAAGGAAATCCGGTTCTTAGTAAGAAATACTCCTATATTAACCAATTCGAATAATATTTTCATACTGATCCTCAGTATGAAATACTTATTTCATGCTGATGATGTTCCGAAGGTTTTCCATCCGAAGAAATGCCTGCAACATTTCGAAGTAAAGCCAACTTACACTCCAGGTGTAGGCGTAGCCATCGGGATTGTTGACGGGCAGGACGTAGAGGTCGTAGGCGTCCAGGAGGGCAGTTGCGCCCGCGTCAGACCCATAATTGTTCAGTAAGAAGTCGATGCCCCACAAGCACGTTGCCGGCCCGATCCATCTGTAAACGAATTAAAAATTAACTTTCGTTCATGTCGATTCAATGCACAGGTTTTATTTGATCAAAGAAACAAGATTCTTAAGTGCTTCAAGTAAATGCACTCTTACTCTCTTGCGTGGATGCCGCAGTCGATCCAGACGGCCTTCTTGCCAGCGCCCACCGAGATTTTCAGTTGCCAAAGATCGCGGCCTTCGACGGTCTTGCCGAGCGACACGAGGCTCGTGCGGTCGTCGCTTGCGGGCAGGCCGGCCAAGTACGCCTCGATCTGATCAAGAAATTTATCACTTCATTTACATATTATTTCAAAAAGATTCTGTTCCACCAAATGGAAGATTTTTCAAATTCAATTAGTTGCACTCTATACTTGCAACAAATGAGATTAATTTGGCTTATATAGGATCGTACCTCTTCCCAAGTGTTGTAATCATCGAAGGCAATCTTCAAGTCCTTATTTTTCTTCGCCAATCTCGCGAAGTCTCGTTCGATAAGCCTGAGGTAGAATTTTAAAACATTCAGAACTCGGTAGAATTTACTAAAAGGAGCTTATTGTCACGAAAAAGGCTGCGAATGCCTTTAAAAAAATTATACACAGTCAATATATTCGAACAAAAATAAATTATATAGTTTCAATGGGTTTAGAGCAAGTAAACTTTTAGCGGGGTGAAAATTACGCATTTTTGTGAGGAAGAATTATATATTTTCCAACTTCCTCGTTAAGTTAGAGCACGCTACTCACGGCTGTACGTCTTGGATCATGATGGAACTATGGATGGCTTTAGCCGCCAGGCTCGTCATGACTCCGTGACGAAGTTTGGGGTCCACGAGGACGTCAATCCAATCCTTGCCTCGTCCCCACACGTCCATGTTGTGCTTCTCCAAGATGGCGTTGAAGGCAGGCTTCTGCTCCTCACTAACTTCTAGGCGCCATACCTGGAAACTGGACAAAATTGCCGTTTTTATAACCGCAAGTAATCATATAGGAGAAAACCTGCTAACCGGCAGGTTATTATTCATCTTAACTTCATCTCCTAACAAATATGATGCTTGGAGATAAAGTAATTTTAACGTAACCACCGATTATGTTTAGAGTAAAATCACACAAACTTAATTACGAATAAATAGTTGCAAACTAAACTTGATTATCATGAATTGGCTTACAAAAATTTAGCTGGAAAAGCAATGAAATACACCTCACCCTTCATATGAAACCCTAGCCGAAGCCAAGGCCACAACGGCGAACAACGCAAGAAACCGAATCATGCTGAACAATGAGGTAACGTCGCGCTGCCCTGCGTTTTATAGAAGTTATAGCCCATGTAATCGGAGGGCAAACTGTTGTGTTGTTGTGGGTTTATCTTCAGGGGCAGGTGCGACCGCTCACATGTTCAGTCGACAGACGGGAAAACCCATCAAATGTCAGCTGCTGCCAATAGCACAAACAATATACAGCAGATACAGATGTATTCTCCTAACAGTATAAATTACTCCTGATATCGCGCAATAAAACCATCATAAATATTACTTAAATTATTTCTGTATTTTATGCACTTCATCCGATGAAACGATTTATTGAATTCAAGTGGGTATTTACAATTCACAGAACATTCGTTATAGTCTTACAAACGTCACATTAATCTGACTTGAGAAAGTACCTATGGTATAACATCTTAAATGTTTAAATGTTCTTACGAAAAAATTATCCGTTCTATCACATGTTACATGTGACTCTATTGCCCCTAATCAGAAGCTTCATCCTCCGCTACACATAATCAATGCCCGGCTCGGTGCTCAGTCATGGTGCGTGGGACACTTGCATGTGCACGATTGCCAGAGTCAGATTCTACCTCCTCAGAACATAACATGTCATTCACCATGGGATTTTTTATACTGCTAGCATAAACATCGTTTTTGTATAAATTACGGATAATAAATTTTTATATATCAAGCTACTTTTATAACCACTTTTAACACGACGGTAACAATTTGTCAGTAGAGAGCATTGAAATTTCACAATTTTCATGTGTGGAATAAATGAAATTGACTAGAATAATATGCACATAATTTTCAAATTGAGAAACCCTAATACATCCTAACCTAACTCTCACCCCTGACATACCCTATCGCCTAACCTAAAACCTGGCCAAACCGAACCTAATCTACTTGTTGGTCACCAAATAAACTTGTTCCTGCCTTGAACCTAACTCGAAGATGGTACCTGTATCACACAATATATAAGCTTTATTAAATTCTACCTAATTCCTTGGTAAGTTAATTACTTAATTACACCTACATGTATTTATGTTGGCATAATGTACCATATGCAATGATGAAAAATTATGGTGATGAATTGTGCAAAGATGAATTGCTTTAATGATGACATTTTCAATGCTGAATTGCTTTAATGATGAAGTTCCCAATGATGAAATGTGTCAATCATGCAATGTCCAAGGATGTATTGCTATTGTAGTGATGAAATGTGTCAATTATGGAATGTTTTGTTTGATTAGTTTTCTGTCTCCCATTTTCATTCCACTTTATTTTTCTTCCAGTCATACACTCAACTTTTAAAATTTGTTCTGACATAAAACTTCTACTGGGTACTAAAGGTGTTTTGAAGAAATGATTTTTCTCGTGCGCTTTCATTCGCTACGCCCATATAATTGTTCATTGGGAAATATAAAATAAAACTTCCCACTCTGACCATTGAACCCATTTAAGGTAATTTGGTCTTGAGATTATTAATTTGTTCACACTTTCGTGGCGATTCTTGAACCCTATTTGCAGAAATGCTGTCTAATAATAATATTTAAGATATATTTTATCAAGTACTGCATTAATTCTCCCTGAAAAATTCCTACTTAAATGATGCTTTAAAAAACCTCCTCTTTAATAATTCGTAAACCTACATTGTTTTCATATTCCTACATCAAATTAGTTATCCTGGCCATTTATTACCTGATAGATAAATGAAAGCTCCGGAATTTTGATGAGAGGGATGATTTTTTTTCTAGCCTCGCCTCATGATCAAACTAAGTATTTTACGATCCAAGATGTTTACGCCAAATCGATTGCACTTTTTCTTCTTAATTACCATATATGTTGCCTATATTATTGCTGAATTAGTCAAGTTTATCATGATCTCTTCTCAAAAATAAGCTCTAACTCGACGGACTGTTTGAGGATCAATTGCATTACAAAAATTGATGTATCAGTAAAATTTCGTTCGTTGTGACATACGTACTCCTCGCGGAACAACCCAAAACTTACGTGTTCGTTTTTTTCGAAGTTGAAATATCAACCAGATTTTTTTTTGAATGGACAACAGGTTAAGAACGATTGAGAAACGAGTATGTTAAAAAGATTTCATGTACAAATATATATTTTATATTCAAAATGAAATAATTGAAATATAAATTTGCAATTGAGTTGCTATATGGCGCTTTGAGCGAGGCCCGGGCCTATACTTTCAAAAAGAGATCGTAAGTTCATCAGCCAATCATTGACGGCCTATCGAGCAAAATCCACCAATCATAGACAAGAAAATAGGTCGTAAGTACTTACGTTCACTTAGCGAGTTTTGAAAGTATGGCCCCTGGTGAACAAGGCGGGCTAAACCTGCCGCGTCGCGTTAGCCTGAGAAAGCACATTACACTCACGACCCACCCGAGTATCTTCACTTAACCTGCTAGAATGATGCTGCAATATTCAAAAGAATATCAACCTATGAATGAGATAATGAATGGAAAACAATGCCACGTTAACTTGCTGGTGGAGAAAATGAGTGTTTAAACAATTTCCTTAAAATGTAGGGCCATACCACGTAAACAATTTTCCTGAGAATTGAGTCTTAATTCCAATACAACGGTTTGATTCCTGTGGTGCAAGAGATTTTCAGGAGCAAAGCTGCAAAGATAATACCGGGAGAAGCTCATCAGAGAAAGACTTGAAAGCCAGGTGTTATAATTTCAAGTAACCGAGACAATATTAAACAGGCAACCCAGAGAATTTTGTTAATCGGTTCAAAAAATATACTAAACAGAAGACTTTATTTCTAATTAGGCATGCTTCATTTTCTAAGAGATTTAAGATGAATCTTTGCAAGAAGCATCAATTAAAATTCCCGCGATTTGATAACAGATTATCGCGAGCTGCCAAACGCTGTTGGCTTTTTCAAATATTTATTTTTCGGTATATGCAAGATATGAAAACATTTGTAGAAAACTAATCATAAGAAATTCAAATCTTTTCCACTAAAATGGGAATATTAACAAGTATATTTGCCGATTCCGGGCATTCAAAAAATCCCATTATTTACTGGGGAGTAATATTTTACAGCTGAAAAATAGGTTTGTGAGGCATCGAGTCATCGAGAATATTATTATCAACTATCTAAACTGAAGGTTGTGGAACTCCGCATAACTGTATACTTGTTAGTGCCGTGGAGCCCGATTCAAACCAATTGGTAATGAACATTTATTGCATGAAAATAATGATAATAAGGCATAAATTGCTTACTCGCATCAGATGGACCTTCGCATCACAGAGCAGGAGCAGTATACTTGACAAAAAATTTGTATACTGATTTCCCGCCAAGATTGACGGGCCGTCAATCTTGGCGGGAAATCAGCATACAAATTTTTCAGTATACAATCAGTATACAATGCACATCTAGGCAGCTTCGATCACGGAATTTGTTAACGTCATCATAATTACTTCCTCAAAGAAATTTTTAAGAAAAAGGTCGACATTGAAATGCAGTATCTTATCTTGTGCAGCCGCCATTCGCTACACGCGAGGCCCTCATGCCACATCTGGCTCGTTCATTTGTAACAGAATTCGGCTGAAATTACCTTGACCTTACACAAGATCATCATTTCTTTACCATAAACTGAATTTCTCAAAAAGAAATACGTTTTTCGATGCATTCTTGTCTGGTAACTCAATTCTCATTTATCAGTCACCGCTTTTTGTGAAGACCCTTCAGCGTATTTCCAGTTTTTAGACTCCTATCCTAAAATTTTGATCAAGATGAATGCCGTTTTCATTTATAACGTCTTTGGAGTTTAGTTTCTCTAGCTGTCTAATAATAGGTACAATAAATAGTAAGATCAACAAGTCCTAATATTTCACAGATTCAGAGGCTTGTGAAATTCGGCGACGAGCTTCATCCAACACTGTCCATCTTTAAGGTGCGATAAAATTGAAGCCGCTGAGTTAGACGAGGATCTTCCCTATAACTTATAAGTGTTAGTTGTCTCTCTATGATATATTATGCAGTCAATGTCAATTCGAATACATGAAACCTATGCCATTACTGATCAATAATATTCAAACGCATTATAGAAAATTGGTGATCAATAACCATTGGTACGCTAATAATTGACATAACTTGGGAGATGTCGAATTTTATTTTTGCTGTATTCTATTGTTTCTTAGATCAATCAATTTTTTATATCTCTTCTAATACAAGAAATGTCCACATTTTTCCATTGGCTACCTTTTCGCCGATTCCATTCAAATTTATTCTACCGACACCCAATGTGAGACAAGAGCATCAAAATCTAAAAAATATTATTTTAACATGTAAAAATATCAGTGTGGAATTTTTTTAACTGAAATGCATTTATCATACGTGATCGCGCCTGGTATCAAGAAAAAAAAACTAGATTTATTTTCCAAAGTATAAAAGAAATGTTGTCCCTGCTATCGACAAGGCTCCTCTTGATGGAGCCTTGCTTAAAAAGCGTGTTCTTGCTTAAGCGTGTTCTTCAAAAACAGCAATATATCTTCCCCAATAAAAAATGTCTTCCCTTACATTAATTCCGAATATTTCATCGCTGAAGTAAGTAACCGATAAATATTGTCTCAATAATTCGTTACGAGTATCATACAATAATATTACTTGGCCAACCAGGATAATTCTTCAAACAATCAAACAAAATTTAAAACATACAAAGATGTAATTAATAAACATGTTGATTTAGCGTTGATCAAGGAATAGCCAAGATGGCGGCTATGATGCCAGCCCAGGTCTCTTGTGCAGTGGGCACGATCTCGATGGCAGGGAGCAGGAAGCCGAAGGTGCCGGTGTCTCTGAGCTCGATGGTGTACGAGTAGGTGATGCCGGCGAGGTATCCGTAGTCCACTGTGGTGCCGGCTGCTGGGTCTGAACGTTTGTTCAGAGTTAATAATCACGTGCGTTACTCTAAGTTTAATTTCCGATGTTATTTGAAAGTGAACATTCAAAAAAATAGTAATGACTGTCTTGGAAAAGTTACGCCCTGCTTGAGAAGATTTTATGGAACGTCGAAAAATACCTTGCCTAAAACTCACTATTTGACTATCTTTCGTTTCTTCGGTTTGGGTAGTCCGATTCATAGATTTTTCAGTCCGGTAAAATAAGGAATGTGCATGAAAATAACTTTTGTTTATGCAAACGGGTCTTTTGAGCACGAAATTTATAAATTTGCACGCGTAAATCATGTATTCATTATTGCGTATTTTAATATACTCACAGATGGTGTCGGCGACTGGGCCGTACACGTACTCGGTGCCGTGGACCGCAGTCAAGGCGCTCACGCCGATGGCTGCCACGCGATCCTGTGCACAAATTATTCTCAATATAAGTGCAATATTACATGATTGCGGTGTAAGTTAATTTGACATAAAGTTTATGCTTAAACCACTTGGCGCACTTTGATGCTCATTATTCATGATTAAGAGCAATTTAGCACTGCTTCCATTAGTACAATACATAACTTACTAGCTCAAAAACTTCTGTTATTCAGGACCAGAATTCTTTTAGGTTGTACAATTTGACAAACTGTTTTAGGTTGGACGATTTAACTCACAAGTTCGTCGGCCTCAGCAGGTAAGTCAAAGGTGTAGCTGTATGGGTACATCCACAGTTGGCTGTAGGAATGGATGCTGATCAGCGCCTGCGCTTGCGGTGCCAGGGCATCAATGGCCGCCTGGACGGCTTGAGTCTCAGGCTCAGATACCGCTGAGGGTCCTGATGGAATAATGTGAAAGAAATAATGTGAAACTTCAAAGAGTGTCATGCGAATCGGTGCTTCAACATTTGACTATAGATGAACTCATTTTCAAGTGGAGACGACTCCCCCTTTTGGGGTCAAACTGGCAATTGTGAACCCTTTTAAATGTGTGCCGTTCACATTCGATTTTTTATCCCGTATGAAATGCGCGCACTGCTGTCTAAGCCCATTGAGGTTTCCTTCGGCCTAACTCACCTCTGTACGTCTCAGCGCACGAGTTCCCGGAAGTTCCCAGGCCGCCAAAATCAACATCAAAGTTCCGGTTCAAATCCACACCAACGCAAATGTTGTCAGGGTAATTCTGACGGTTTTTTCTCCACAGTCGATCATCCTGAGAGGTAGTGGTGTCGTATTATGCTGTTTTTGCACTCTAAACGTATTTAAAGCTGAGCAAGCAGCTATTTGATGAAGAAATTTAATTTTCATTGATAACATAGGAAGTGGAGACTACCATAGTGATAGGAGACTACCATAACATAGGATGTGGAGAAAAAAATATGTTCCGAATTTCTAAGCAGAGGAACAACACTAGACCATTGACAGCATTTGACCATTGAAATGCATTTATATTCGTATGCCGATGTTTTTTGGCAACACTATTAGACGAAGTAGTGTATCTTATAGGTAAAAATGAATAGGGTCACATTTCAAGTAACGAACATTAATATATTCGAGCAACTTACACTCCAGGTGTAGGCGTAGCCGTCGGGATTGTTGACGGGCAGGACGTAGAGGTCGTAGGCGTCCAGGAGGGCAGTCGCGCCCGCGTCAGACCCATAATTGTTCAGTAAGAAGTCGATGCCCCACAAGCACGTTGCCGGCCCGATCCATCTGTGAACAAATTAAAAATTAACTTTCGTTCATGTCGATTCAATGCACATTTGGGGTCCACGAGGACGTCAATCCAATCCTTGCCTCGTCCCCACACGTCCATGTTGTGCTTCTCCAAGATGGCGGAGAAGGCAGGCTTCTGCTCTTCACTAACCTCTAGACGCCATACCTGGAAGCTATATAAGGAAATATAAGATACACAATGCATTCTTCGACGTCTGCAACATGACGGTGAGAGCAATCGTCTGCCTTCACTCCTTACAGGTACCATAGGTCCATAGCATACATGAAAAACGCAATTGAGGCAACAAAATAAAAACCCTGTCTAAAATAGAACCAAGCAGCGTTAAATAATAAATGTTAGTCACAAAACTGCAACCATTTAATGCTCTCAACTTTATTAGTCTGGAACCCCCAGTTAACGATATTTTACTTGCATCTTGTCATACATATGTAGACGAACACGTAATTAAATTAAACTGATTTCGAGAAAAAAGTTCTTACCCTTCGTAGGAGACACTGGCTGTACTCAAAGCCACAAGAGCGAACAATGCGACTGTGCGAAGCATGATTACGATATACGGCCTTGATACCAGCATGCAACTTTATATATGCAATCCCGGGAACAAGACGACGCGTGACAGATTCATACGAAACTTGTCTTGTTGCACAGACCTGTGATTTGAGTTCCCAAGACGATAAGCTGGGGGGAGAAGCTGTGGGTTCAGAGAACTCAAAATAGCGGCATTAATTTGGTCGTTGTTGTTTTAGTTTTAATAAAATCGTACTTATGTTATTTGAAATGTTTTCGTTCGTAATCAAACATGAAAGAAAGCCGTATTTTACGCAGCCAGGTCATCAGCATCCACAAACGGTTCCCTGACATTTCATCGTGCGAGACATTTCATTATTAATCGACAAATTTCATCATCGACACATTTCGTAATCAACATATTTCACAATCAACACATTTCATAATCAACACATTTCATCATCGACACATTTCATCATCGACACATTTCATCATCGACACATTTCATCATCAACACATTTCATCATCGACACATTTCATCATCGACACATTTCATCATCGACACATTTCATCATAGACACATTTCATCATCGACACATTTCATCATCGACACATTTCATCATCGACACATTTCATCGTAGACGCACTTCATAGTCAACACATTTCAAAATCAACACATTTCCTTATTGTCACATCTCATCACCATAGCAATTCATCATTGGACATTTCATTTTTATGGCAATTCAACGTTCCACATTTCAACACAGGACATTTCATCAATGCATAAAATGCACTTGTAAACATAAATACATGTAGGTGTATCCTAACTTAACTAATAATACCATTTTTATATGTTTTTTAACTTCTCAGTATGTATTATATTGCTTAGTACAATTACATGTACTTTTTTTGCAAAATACACTTTATGCAATGATGAAATGTGTTAATGATAGAATGTCTTGCAAGACGAGGTGTCTAGCCCTCCCCTCTAACAGTATAGATAACTGAGTTAAAAGTTAAGTATAAAAACAAAAGACAAGTATGATAGAGCCTCAAACAACAAATAAATCAAAACAACGCCACAAAAGACCTGATTGCATACCTATTAATCGAGGACGATTGAAATGTTTGCCGTGAATGTAACTGTCTGATTTGATATAATATGTTCGGAAGATGGTTGCCTGTTTGGTAAGATGGCAGGGTAAACTCGTTCAGGTCGTGTAGCGAAAAATGTACCTCGCATTCTCTGAACGACAGTCGTAAATGAATTTGCAATAAGCAAACACCATAAAGTTAATTCTCGCGCTGTGTTCATGTACTAGTTAATTATTTAACGCGTTAATGGGTATAACGTATCGAAATGACACAGTTATTATGAATGAGCAGGTTAACTGATAAATATGTTAACATGAAATAAACCCAAATTAAGTTCAAAAGCATCGAATTTTAGAACTATATTAAGACAGTTTCAAAAATAAAAGTTGATAATTGAGCAAGATTTTGGTTACTTTACTTTGCTCGCTAATGTTTCTAAAGTTACGTAACCGTATTTACCTATACAAGTCATTTATTAGACACACTCACGTGTAACACATGTGACAAGATTCCTCGACTACAAGTAAAGTCTGCAGACATGGAGCTGCTGTTTACAAAGGACAATTTCTCACACTCTCCAGACAAGAAGTATGGGACAGTTCTCCGCCGTACACACAGATTCGTCTCGTACTAAAAATTTCAGTTACTTCGGAACATTACTTCAGCCAATAATTTATTTAATATTCATCCACAACATATACTTTGAATGCATCTTTCAGATTCAGATGTTATAGATACTTTTTAAAGCTACAATTTTTTTCAGAGAATAATATGTGTTTTTTAAAATGAATATGAATAATTCAAATTTGGACGTTCACTTTTACGTATTCGCTATGTAATTCTTTGACGCGGAAATCTGGACATGTAACTATGTAAGTCTGGACATAAGGTTTATAGAACCGTAATGTTTTCGGTTCTAGACGTTGCTCCCAATCATGAGGGTAATCACGCTAGCGATTCTTAACGCTCTACTAGACCCAATGATCAGAACCATCACGCTAGCGGTTCTTAACGCTCTACTAGACCCAATGGTCGATGTCATCACACTTAACAAAAAACGGAAGACAATGGGATACGATTCGCTTCTGTTCGTCCGGTTCAAGTCTAAATGGTGGGGTAAAATATGAGTGAAACAAAATAATGTTTATTCAGATAACTGGCACAAAGATTGTTAGGCTTGAACCTATAGATCTAGGTTCTCGTTTTCGATGGTGCACCCGTTCGCCAGCACACAGGTCTGGCGTCTGGGCTGTGAAAGCACCAATAGCTTCATTTTAGTTGACATAGTAAAAAGTTAAAGTTATAATAATGAGTTATAGGAATAGGATTAAGCAATTATAGTACTAACTTTAGAGTTATTTATATCGTTATAGTTATAGTAATGAACTATCAAGTTATAGTATTAAATAATCAAGTTGTAGTAATAACGTGTCAAGTTTAGTTTTAACTTATCAAGTTATAGTTATAAACAATCGTAATGTCTTTTTTTCTGCGAATGAAAGGTTCTTTCAGGATTACTAGGAAGGCAGCACGCACCGCTCGACCATGAGCCCAGAATCATGACAACCCACGTACATAACTCACCTCCACGACCAAGGGCGCACGCCAGTCTCGGGGCAGGTCCCCCGCTCGAAGTAGACGACAAATTCGGATGGCGGGACGACAGATGGCGGGACGACAGACGTCGGATGGCGGGACGACAATAGTCGGATGACGAGACGGCAGACGTCAGATGACAGAACGACAGACGTGGGTTGAAAAGCTGACGGACGTCAAGCAAAGTATGTTACCGCCAAGTCCAAGGCACGAAATGTGAACGGCTAAACTTTAAAATGGAGTTATATAGTACTTCAACATATGTGAATATCATACGTGAACGGGTTGCTGGGTGGCTGAAAACGGAGAGACCATAAGAATCGTCAACTCTATTTAGGCACATGATCAAACTGCATTGTGCTGCATCCATTAAATACAGCTGGTCCGCTATATATATGGCAACGCATGTTTTTTTGTTATTTCTCAATGAAACAAACGAGTGCATTGTTTTTTTACTGGATGAGCTAATAGCCAAGAATTACCTAAACAATTCTCAGACATATTTATTCAATATGACCACCCTTATTTTTAATGACGGCCTCTAATCTACGTGGGAAAGCTTAACAGGAGACACGCAGCATTTCTCGAGGGCTCAAGCCCCTTTCTCGTGTCAATTTAGACTTCAAACTATCCAAATAATCATGAAGTATTCTGCAGACCCTAATCTCTAAAATAGCACACACAGAAAAGTCGAGAGGATTCAAATCAGGGCTTCTTGAGGCTCATTCATTTTTGCTAATGAACGCTGGGATGTGACCCTGAATCCAGTTTTGGATCATGTTTGAGCCATGTGATGGGGTAGAGTCCTGTTGAAAACTCCATGGTGAGCCGTTGAAGTGTTTACGGGCCAAAGGTAACAACACAGCTTCCAAAATGTCCGAAATGTATCGCTGACTGTTCAATTTCACTCCTGAGGGGACAAAAACGAGTGGGGACCTCCCAGTGGTGGTTACCGCAGCCCAAACCATCATGGACATGGGATTTCGACGTCGTGTTGCTGTTCTGGTTGCCACAGATCCATTCCGACTCCAAACTCTGTCATTTTGACGGTTAACGCTTTGTTCAATGTCAAATTTTTTCTCGTCACTGAACACCAAGTTGGGCAGCGTGCCATCCTCAATGAGATCCAGAATGTGCTGACATCTTTCGAGCCTAATTCGTTCATGACGGTCTGTTAGTTCATGCCTTGTTTTCATCTTGTAAGGGGAGGTTTTGAGATCATCTTTGAGGACTCAACTCATTGATGTCTGACTGACTCCCGCTTCTGCAGCCAATTTTGCAGCTGAGCAACGAGGGTTTCTCCTCAACTTCTCCCTCGTGTTTTTGACCAATTGTTTTGTTCGGACACTTCGTTTCCTTCCTTTACCAGGTCGATTGCATGTTTCACCAGTTTCCTTGAATTTTTTTACCACCTTCCACACAGTTTCACGACGAATTTGGAGCTTTTTTGCAATGACTGAACTACTCTCGCCCTTTTCATGAAGGGTAACAATTGCATTTCTATCTAGTGCCATATGTAATAGTAAATTTAGACACCTTAGACTTTCGCAATATAAAATAGATGATATTAAGCTTCATTATAAAAGAAAAGTCTCCAAGAAACCAATTTATTTTTATATAGCAAACATCCGTTTCCATAAATATGGCGGACCCTGTATAGCGTTTTAGACAACACTAGCGCTTCTATATGTTCTACAAGGCCCGATGATTAGGATCATCACACTAGCGGCTCTCAACGCTGTAGTAAACCTAATGATCAGAACCATCCACACTAGCGATTCTTTACGCTCTACTATACCCGAGACTCGAGTCGATCTCGCATCCAATTTTAAATGCATTTAAATGTTAGTTTTCATGTTACAATTTACCACGAAATGGAGGACCTCGCTTCATGTACACTGATCATCTCTGCCCGATCGTACGCTCACCTACCACTGTTCTCAGCTTGGTTGTAGGCTTACTTACCTGTGCTCATCTCGGACAATAACGTTTCAGTTTTTCGTCATAGGTTACCGCTTTTCGCCAAGGTTCTTTAACGCTCCTCGTGGGCCCGGACTGCATGTCGCGGTTGTGGGTTTAAGTAATTTTATACGCAGGATTCCATGCTCTCAATTTACCTCGACTTAGCGACATCTTGAGCCACCGTCAGTTGGAGTAAGATTGGTGAAAATTTTCCCAGAAGTGTAAAATTGCCCAAAATTTTCATCTGATGAGTGGTGAATTTCATGCCCCAATCATGTGATGAGTGGTGCTTGCTAGTAATGGTACCTAACCAGTGATAGAAATATTAGTTGCGGTTTCAACGTTGATTAAGCCGTTAGACCTGTCACCAATTCTGAACATTATTAAATTTTCACAGCTTGCTGCGGTCTCGAACACGCCGGTAACTGCTCCAATTCTGCTGTACTTAACCGCTCGGCTTCCTCGCCGACTTTGACCAGAAACTGGTGCACAAAGTTTGGATCGAACCCGCGCCTCTCTGCTTCAATCCTGCTGCTCTGAACTGTAACCACTGGGCCACCCTGCACCAGTGAACTAAGTCGAAAACTCGTAACACTACGGGACATCAAAATTTGTTCAACTTTGCGCTAATGTTACACTTCAACTTTTTTTCGTTTGTGATTTGCGAGAGCCTCTGAAGGCTAGTCCGATGCGGCCCCACTGCAGATGATGAGTCATAGTTGCAACAGTTTCTCTCAACGGGTACTCTGTGGGGCCCCATGGGCTGCGGGGCGCGGGCATGCACAAAGGTGTGTGCACAAGGGCATCATCACGCACAAGGCTGCAGGCATATAAATACTCAGTGTAAAAATTACAGTCAAGATATTCTTCAGCAATAATACGTTCATAAGACAAATTCTGTTCGACTCGAATATAATACAGAATACTTCATTCATGTAGAAAAAGTGCAATAAGTGAAAATATTGCAATGTGCTTTATGCAGAAAATTATACATAACAATTCAGAGATATAGAGAGATCAAATTTCAACATGAGTTTGTCGGAGTTACTGAAAACTCTAGCCTGGGCAGCACAACCAATCTGATGCTTGTGTCTTCGTGTTTATTGTAATACATCTATCCGCTTTCCGCTCTCGAGATGCTACATCTCATTTTTGAACTAGTAGATATATAGTTCAATTGAACCATGCTAAATATGCTCCATTCTTACAAGTTTTAACGTCACCGGCTTATCACCGGTGACAGCCTTATCCTTTTATTCGCGTTAAACTGGACAAGAATAAGTCTAAAGACGCGTGGTGGTGCTCTCAATACGACTAATTGACAATGGGAAAGCTGGGGCTACAGTATCAGGGAATTTTTACAATTATTTCAGCGAATGCTTTTCTTTTAGTGATTTAAATATGTATACGAAGTTTCAGAATGCTCGGTCATTTATTTTAGATTATTTTTAGAGGGGACTGAATTGTTGCCGAGCTATCAGTACAGACGAAGCGTGGCAGACGGCTTCAGTCGTTCAGGGCACGACTGCAGCCGGCAGTTCTCACGCTCGCCGCCAAGCGAGAATTTTTTAACCCAGTTCATGTCTGGCAAACTAGAATAAACTTAGTTCACCTAGAATACATTTCGAAAAAAGTTGTCTTTATTGCCGTCGAAATGAAATAAATTATCTTTGTTTAAATATTTTTTAAAATAAAACAGTTCTTGAAGCGCACACACCAGAGAATTACTTAGCAAATGATATGAGGAGGAATAAAGTTGACAAGCATCGCATTAAATGCAATGGCAGAAAGGATAAAAAAACTAGACATTTTTCCAGGTCACTGTACAGAGAGAACCTAATTTGTACATAGTAGAATAGCGTAACTCTAAAAAAAGAAGACGCTGGGGAATAAATCCCTTCAAAAATTGTCACCTCGATGCTGACACGATAAAATGGCGCCATAAGCTGACACGTCTGTGCCGAATAATCAACAGATAAGTCACACACACTGTTTGAGGATCAATTGCATTAAAAAATTGATATATCAGTAAAATTTCGTTTCTTGTGACACACTCCTCGCGGAACAATAATTAACAGATCAGAATAATCAACAGAACAATAATTACGACAGTTCTTGGAATCACAGGAAAAGATAAAGCTTTATCCATGAAAAAAATAAAATTAGGACAATCGTGCAAATGTTCATGTTATGTCAACACTTATGAATGGGAAGTTGGGTAGCTAAAAGTGGGGAATTTTACAGGAATAGTGAAAATTCTCAATGGTTCTTCAGCAACATTCATGTAGCCAGCAGGTGCATTGTCTCGGGTCTCTCGTAACACTTCCATTTTGATTGTTGGTATGCATACATCTTTTCTAGAAACAATTTCATGCATTTAAAGTTTTCTTCCATGCAGAGGAAAACAAAATCACCAAATTTTAGCAAGGCAAACGTGTGTGCAAGATGCAATTCAATTTACATGAAGGTACGGTGCCGGGCAAGGCTCCAAACAAGCTTTGTTCAGATCCTTCAACGCTAGGCAAAAAATTTGCCAAGCTTATAACTCGGTAATAGGGTTCAGAATTAGTACATTACATTGATCAGCGGACAACATATAACCAAAAAACATACAAGTAAAATGAAACTCATTAAAACATACTCGGCGCTTTCCAATCAGATCAGAAATAATTCTATATGAATTAATTTGAAAAAAATCGATGAGTGAGAGGGATATAGTTTCAGAATTGATGCATTGCCATTACAATTTTCTCATTTAAAAAATCACAAGCCATGAATAATCAATCCAGAGCTTTGGTTAAGAAAGCATACCAGGGATCACAGCACTCCTGAGAACAGCCCCTGAATGGCGAATGAATATCTACCGAAAACGATGGTCTAATGGACTAGATTATTTCGGAATGCAACAGAAAATTCTCATAATAATGATATGATATAAGCAGTGGGTAAAATTTTCAAGGAACGTGACGAGAGTGACCGGAAAACTTATCCCCAAACGGGGCAAGTGAAAAGAAATGCTCATTACCTAATTAATCTAGCCAATACCGTACGAACGCAGAACGGTTTACAATACGTAATATTATATGGCAGCGTCACGTTCTGCTAAACCGCTGAAAACTGATTTTAAAATCACACTTGATGCTGAACTTTTCAACTTTCGGTAAATCATTCGAGCCATGAAAGAAATGAAACATACTGGAAGTTGTAAATAATATGAGATGAAAATATGGTTTGTAATTCATGTGCATTTCTTGATGAACATGAAATGTAAAAATTTCTTGTAAATGCAAGAATCTTATAAAACAGAAGCGCGGAAACCTTCAAGACACACTACATCCAAAATGCGGGCTTATATGAGTAAACTAGCACATGAAATGCCAACAAAAACACTGCCTGCAGTTCGGGCCATTAGACGATACTTTTTCTGTACCAGCATTCACTTTAATGCTTATATGACAACTTGACCAGAACAAGAGAATCATTTAACATCAAAACATTACATGTAAATATTAAAAACATTACAGGTTTCAACAAGCACCACGGTGACGCTTCACTAATCTCTTGCTATATGCAGAGCACATGGGAGGTTACAAAATTTGAGCAAAAAGTGATGCAGGAACCGACGAAATAACTCCTGAAACCTACTCAAATGTCCTTTAAATGAGAATCATAGATTCCGACCTAACACTATGAAACTACTTTTCTATATTCATACGATTAAATTTACAATTATCCTAATGTCATTATAAAGCCAAAGATAAGTGATGCAAGCGTGATTTTCCACCGATTATTTTCAAATTTTCACTGGTCAAGAGCAGGCAGCCAAAACGACATGTGAGAGCACGCCGAGGCAAGCATCATGTATTTAGGATTAAATTGGATGCACTGAACAGGACCAGTGTGATCGCCGTTGAGCGTGGCCACTTTGTAGCCTTTCTCTGCGTTCCAAACGTGCACGTGACCGTCGGTTGAGCCGCTGAACACAAATTGCGAGTCTGGGCTGAATGATGCCTCCAGAGGGATGCCCTTATTGTTCATGTGGCCCTGAGAAGGTTTAAAATATAATCAGGACAAAATATATGATGGAAAACATCAGGAACACATATGAGTAGGAGCAAACATATGGGGACCACAAAAAAAGTAAGAAAATTTCAGGTGTCAAGAAATACAGTAGGATTCAAATTTCAATGATACTTGAATTAAAATACTCAAAAGAGAACATGCTTTCAAGTTTCAAGGGGAGAAAGTGGTAAAGAAGAACTTTAACAAGAAACCTTTATAAAAGGATTATTAGTACGTAATGATGTTGATTGGATTCGTTAACATTAAACTATCACAAAAAACTTTATAAACATGAATTATGCATAATAAAGTTAACTAAGGCTGGATCTGACTGTATGCCTAGTATTTGCAATGATCTAACTCACAGTGAAGGTTCTCAGAGGCGAGCCCGAAAATGCATCCACAAGACGAATCATGGAACCATTAGTTGATATCAGGATACTCCTCCCATCTGGGCTAAATTTAAGCCCAGTCCAATCACAGTCTTTTTCCTGATTCATTTCAAATGTGCTGAATGGAGCTTTGTCAAATGACCTGCGAGAGTATAAATTATAACACCTGCAGTCATTAAAATAACCACAATTGTTATATTGCATTGGAAATAACTTATCAGTAGCCAACGAAGAATGACTATCAACATGGATAAATATGGATTCAAACCATTTGAAGAGAATTCTATTCAGTTGCCAACAACAGGTACGTATGTAGTAAGTAATTAGACATAAATACACATCAAATTCAAGCAACAGACCTGAGATCATAAAGTTTTATAGTCTCCGAGTTGATACCAGCAGCAAAGATTAGGCCTTCAGGATCAAAAGCAGCCACAGGCCGGCCTCCAGTGTACATGGTGCCTTGGCAGTTAGGGGAGCGCAGGTCCCATAGCCTTAGTGTTTTATCGGCTGAGCCAGATATGAAGGAGTCATTGATTGGGCTCATGTCAAGACTAGCAACTCTGCACAAAAATGGAGATATTTTCAGCCATAAAATTTATTTTATTTCTATTTAGTATAAATAAATATCATGCACCACACTTCAAATCCTGCAGGCAGTAATAAATACTTTTGAAAGTTACCTCCCCATAGTGTACTGTAAATTTACCATCTATCTACTGCCTCATAAGTAGAACACCAAAATAATCATCTAAAAATGCATAAAATAATTAGAATGTCACTTCTGCTTGATTTTTTACAATTGGAAAGTTTCACTATTTTATTTAAAAACATTTCTCAAAAATTAGTTGGAAAGCAGCTTATTTTGCTTTTTCATTCAAGAACCTTTTCCTGACAGCAGTTAGGAAGCATTTTACTGACACAAAAATGTTAATATGCAAATTGTTCAGTTCCATATGAACTACCTAGCGTATTTAGTATCAAACTGCATTGCTAGTTAAATATAAAATTACTATCATTTATTCAATTGCTTATCCACCTGACTACGAAAGCTTTCTGTTAATAGATTTTGAGGTAATTATGCAGGTTTAAATATTACTGTCCTTGGATTCTTGGACTATGCAGCTGCTGCCGAGTGCAATTTTGGTAATAATTTAACTTAAAGCAATCGTATGGAGAGAGAACCATGAAATACAGATGCTAATTCATTCTAAACATATTTATTCTTTGTATTAGATCAAGTTCAACAGATTTTTATCATAAAGAAAAAAAAAATTTCAAATGTTATAACTAGAATTGAATACAATAAAAGCATCGATTCTCTACCTACATCTGAAGTTGGTTGAAAATGAGTCACCGCTCTCACTAGATAATCAATTTTATAATTTAATTCACTTCAACCTTTGGAACTTAGTAGGAAGCATCAAATGAAGAATAGGCATATAACTGAGAAGTGAGAAGACCCTTGATGGTTGTCAATCTCTTTGAATTGATGGCTGTGGACATCAAACATAAAATAATTCTACTTTGTACTTGAGAATTTTTCACAAAATGACCCTATCAATGTACAACTCTAAACACCAGTTAAGAAACATACCTACATTCATACCTGCATATGAGAGTTCTTTAGACTGCTAATGAACTTTAAGCCAGTGTATGAATTAAGAGCATCACATCATGGAAGTAAACTTCCTATGATTAGCATAAATTAAGAAGTGCTTTGATCAAACATGTTCAATCTAAGCTGATTCTCTATACATCATACAACCTTTTCAAGCAATAATACCAAATAAGTGATGAGATAAAAAAAAAACATTAACAATGTAGCTTTGATTCTTGAACTTGTTCAGACTAATGACTTACCTCTTTGTGTGGCCAGGAAAATATCGAATAAATTTGTTGTCATGTAGAGACAGATACCGAATTGTGTCTGTATGGAAAAAGTTGTATAAAATTAGGATTGCCTACTTTAATAAATATCTTAAAATTGATTCTCCCAGCTTTCACATAAAATTATTTATAATATTTTCAAAATTATGTCATTTATCTAATTAAATTTATTCTTATTTTTCAGATAAAAAAAGTGCAGAAATGTTGTTATCACTATTATTATCTAACAATATAGTTAATTTAGATTATCATGGGAAAATGAGGAAACAAGCCTTAGGAAATTTACAGTGAATGACCTTGTGATATTATAAGTAGGATTTGGCATTAGAATGGATAATGGAAAAGTCACTATTTTAACATATTGCAATTTTTCTAGGGAAATATTTTTTCAACAATATAAATCACACAATATTAAGGTGAAAAGGAAAATAAATACTTGCCATCAATTTTGGTTGATGCATATATTGCAGATGTTTTCCCATGAGTAAAATGGATGTGGTCAACACCATACTTCTTGCTGTTCAAGGTTCTTTTGGATCTGAAAAAAAAAAAAATTTGCATAATTTTTCAAAAATGTATCATAAAATCATACTTCATTTAAATCACTTTTATTGAAATGCAGCATTGGCATTAAAGTATTAAACCACTATGCAGAGGGTGGATGCAGCGTCGCCAATATATGGATTTTTAAGCCCAAAGCGTCGCCGGCCATTTTAAAGATGCGTCGCCGGGTAATCTTTAATGAAAAGCCATTTACACTGAGTAATGACAAACTATTTACAAGCCACGAACTTAGTTACAAGGTTGCATGCACGTGTTACCGTAAAATGGGGTAACTTAGACCGGCGGGGTAACTTAGACCACTTTTCGTTTTTTTAACAAAATCCCCCACAACTCAAAAACTATTTGACATAGAAAAATTTTGTCAATGGGCATTAAAGGCCTAATACTGAGGCCACATAACACAATAGAAAGAAGAAAGATTTGAAAAGTTTGCATATCTAATAGGTTAAAAAATTGAAAATGTGGTTCATGAAAAAAAGCTATTATTTAAAGCCTGTCAGAGTACCCCCTCCAATTTTTTTATTTTTCGGTTAAATAACTCCAGGTTTTGATGCATTGTAGTAGAACTCTTCTAGTTACATATGCAAACGACAAATTTTAGGAAAGTGTCATAGTTTGCAAATGGGGTGCGCCGCCCCCAAATGGGGTAACTTAGACCACCTAATGTCAGCCCTGACGGGGTAACATAGACCGGCTTGGAAGTTAATATAAAATTACCATATATAA